AAACAAGATCCTACACTGGCACCTACTCTAGCAACAGGCAAGTACACAGATCCAGGAGCACTATAGTCAACATCAGCATACATGGCATAAGACCTAGCATCATCCATAGTCATATAAAAAACAGCAATGCCACGAGCAAGAAGCGTCCCCCAGCGTGGCGGCGGGGGAGCAGAGGGGCCGTGGTGGAAACGGTAGAGGTCGTCGAGACGACTGAAGCAGCGTGCAGCAGAGTGGTCGGGGCGGCCACAGTACGAGTCCCGTCGAGGACCCGTAAGGATCCAGTACTCACAGGGACCAACGTCGCGGCCGGCCGAGCGAGGTCCCCGACTGGAGGGGGGGGCACTGCGCCCAGTGCTCGGGGGACCCACAGACCTCCACTGCTGCTGAGGGCCCCACTGCTGAGGCTGCTGCTGCGGTGGGCGCTGCTGCTGGCCCTGTCGCTGCTGCTGCGGTCCCTGCTGCTGCTGCTGTCCAAGCTGTGGCAGCTGCTGAGAAGTCGGCTGCTGCTGCTGCTGGAACCCCCCACCACCAGTGATAACTCCACCGTCGAGAGGAGGACCGTCAGGGCCCGAGCCACCCCCACTACCACTCCCACCACCCACCCCACCGCCGCCACCACTACCCACACCACCCCCAGTACCCCCGCCCTTCCCTCCCTTCTTGCTAGCCTTGCCACGTTTCTGTCCGCCAGAGACAGAAACAGCCGCCGTCTCCTCAGAGGCAGAAGACGCGGGGATGGCAAGGGAGGCAGTGAAGGTGGGAAGCTGTGGTACCGCACACCCCTCAAAAAGACGAGGAGGAGGTGCTGAGGAGGCAGAGGCAACTGCGAGGAGGTTACTCTCGATCTTCGAGAGAGCGGTCTCAAGAAGATCGATGGTAAGCTCAGTGGGATGCTTCAGAAGAAGCGCGTCGCGGGCTGTGGCTAGGCGGTCAGGGAGGCGAGTGACTAGCCAGTGAATGGTGAGCCACATAGGGGGCGGGGCAAGGGCAAGCTGGTCCTCAGTGCAAGCAGCACGAAAGCGAGTGTCAAGGGAGCGCAGGTGGGCAGTGAGGTCAGAGACAGTCTCAAAGGAGGCGAGGTCAGGGTAGATAAAGGGGACGAGGAGGCGACTGAGTGAGGCAGAGGAGGGAGTGGAGTAGCGAGCAACAATAGCCTTATACAGATCTGCAGCAGACTCGACCTGAGTGAAGTGGACTGCCTCGGTCGGTGGGAGAAGGTCGGTCAGGGCGAGGCAGGCAGCGGCGTCACGAGACTCCCACACGTCGCGAGCAAGAAACTGGCGCTGGTACTCGGCCTCCTGCTCAGGAGTAGGCGACGGGGTGGTGGGCAGCGGCCTAGGCTGAGGAGGGGCGGTCTGAGTACCGGATGCGTGTGCGAACAGGTGCACGCCATCCTGCCGCTGGCTCTTAAGGTGGCGCTGCGCCTGCGTAAGCCACGTACTAAAATCAATCGGTCTCCCCTCAGGGTCAAATCGAAGTACTCGAGTGGTCGCCATAAGGGGCGAAAAACGAGAGAGCGCGGCTACCAGCCGCAGGAGGGTGAGACAGTCAGTGGCACGTGGGCAGGCGCGCAGGCAAGGAGGCGAGGAGGCAGTGTAAGAGGCGCACAGGGGGGCAGCACGGCGCGCTGGCCGGTGGGCGGCGCGGCGCGCTGGCCGGCGGGCGACGCGGCGCGCAGGCGGACGGGCGGGGCGGCGACGCAGCGCTGGCGGTGCGCTGGCGTGGTGCGCTGGCGTGGCGCGCTGGCGTGCGCGCTGGCGTGGCGCGCTGGCGTGCGCGCTGGCGTGGCGCGCTGGCGTGCGCGCTGGCGTGGCGCGCTGGCGTGCGCGCTGGCGTGGCGCGCTGGCGTGCGCGCTGGCGTGGCGCGCTGGCGTGCGCGCTGGCGTGCGCGCTGGCGTGGCGCGCTGGCGTGCGCGCTGGCGTGGTGCACTGGCGTGCGCGCTGGCATGCGGGCTGGCGTGACGCGCTGGCGTGCGCGCTGGCGTGGCGCGCTGGCGGGCCTGCTGGCTAAGGCGCTAGCGGGCCAGCTGGCTAAGGCGCTGGCGGGCCTGCTGGGGAGGGGGGGGGGGAGAGCCTAGAGCGCTGGCTAGGGCGTTGTCCAGGGCGGTAGCTAGGTCGTGGGCGAGGGCGCTGGCTAGGGACGGCATAGGACTAGGAACGGAGGTGACTAAGGCCTAGGAACAACGAACCTACTGCTGATACCATCTTAGTAACTGAGAACAGCGGAATGGCTTGCATTGATTGAGTTGGGGTACAAGTACCTAACCCTATTTGTTTGTACCCCATATAGTATGACCCACTAAGGGCTATAACATTTGACAGTTAGAACAACATTGTGCTGAACACGATACTGCTATAAACAGCAGATTCCTGAATCCCCTTCTGCTCCTAGCACTGACACCCCTTTTGCCACTACAACTTGTGTTGCTCACACTCTTTTGAAGAAAAAAGCCTGGCCGAACCTCCTCACCCTGTGCTCCGATCTTCAACCAGATCGCCCCTAGTGGCCAGCTCCCTGGCCTGAGCATCCCAAGGGTTTGACAACCTAGGAGGTAGCAATGTCAAATACTGCTTCTGCTGCTGCTGCTGCTGCTGCTGAAGCTGCTGCTGCTGCTGACGCTAATCCCAATGCTGCGAGGATGCTCACTCACTCCTTCCCAAAAATCTGCCTGGCTAGCACTGCTCCCGCTGTGCGTCCTGCGACTCTGCACCTTGCCATCCCTCCCCTGGGAGACATGACTTGTCGCAATGCCGCTCAGGCTGCCCCTCTTGCAGACGCTCCCCTGAGTCTCTGAACCAGTCACAATGCTGCAAGCAGGAGTTGAAGTGGTGCCGGTGGTCTCACAAGCTGCCACCCCACTTGACCTGGTGCCATCTCCAAGGGTGAAGCTGCGGCGGCGAGAGCTTTTCTCAAACATGATGGCTTGTGAAGGACGGACGATAGTGTGCCTGCCCCCGTTGAGTCTGCTGCTCGCATCTCTGGGTGACACAGGTGCACAGAAACTGGAATTGCTGCTGCTGCTGCGGTTGCTGCTGCTTCTGTCAGTACTGAGGCCGATCCTGCCCCTGTGCGGCTGCTGCTGCTGCTGCTGCTCCAACGTTGTTGCACTCGTGCTTCTGTGCTTTCAGCCCATTCCCTTCCAGCCCCAGCTGCTGCATGGCCGAGATTTTGAGTCGACTCAAAATGGATTTCGGAGTCGACTTGAAAAGCTGGCGCGGGTGCTTCTGTGCTGGAGCCACAATGCCACTCCCTTCCAACCCCAACTGCTGCATGGCTGTGGAAACTGCTGCATCAGCAGCTCTCCTTTGTTTCATCGCTTTCCAGTACAGCATTGCAAACTCATCGTCTGAGTCTTCTCCTGGTTCACTCGAGTGGGAGTCGTCAGCAGGTTCACTCGTGTGCGAGTCGTCTGCAGGTTCACCTGAGTGTGAATCAGGCACTTGTGCTACAGTGCGTGGATGGGTGACGTTTAAGGCAGCGGTTTCCCTGCCGGCTTCACCAGCAGTAGCAGTAGCAGTAGCAGCAGTAGCAACAGCAGCAACAGCCAGGGAAGGGAGGTGTAATTCAGGAAAGGGCGATGAGTGAGAATGCATGACGCTGATGTGAGATGGAGTCTCAATAGAGATGGGGGTTGGGGACGGCCATGATATCATTCTGCGATGAGACTTATTGGTAAAAGGATATTTGCTGTTAGCAGCAGTTGCCGGGGTGCGATTCAAGTCATCATCGAGTGTAACCTTGCAGGAGACTTCCCTTGGAGAAAAACCAGCAACTGTAGCTGACATGGAGAGAGAGCGTTGGTGGTGGTGGTGCTGCTTAGTATGCTTTCTCGTAGAAGCGTTAGACAGAACTGTAGATGTATAGCAGGCAGCAGTAATCGAAGACTGCATAAGCGAAGAAGCGTCCTGTTTGGTGTGTTTCTCCCCCGCAGCGCCTCCCCCGGCGCCTCTGCGAAGGATGGTAGAGGAATGCAGTGACATGTCACAACTTCCGCCGCTGCGATGAAGACCCGCCAAACTTCCGTTAACCACCAATTTGCTTCTGCCACGTGTCAACGGAAGAACCCCCAGCCCCTCCGAGCGCGCGTGTTCGGAGAATTCTTCTTGCGCGCCCCGGGTAAAGGGAGAACTAGCGGAACCATCTCCGGAATTCGACCGCCTTCGAGTGCACCCGCCCTTTTCCTGCCCCCCTTTTTCAAGGTCGCGTCTTCCCCCTTCGCGCACGGCTAGTTGCGCTCCTTGCGACGATTCGCTGCTGCCTGCGACCATGGGCTGCCCCCGTTTTTCCAGGTCGCTTGTCCCCCCTTCGCGCGCAACCAGGTGCACTGCGCGCGACCGCGACGACTCGCTGATGCTGCTAGGAAAGGGAACAGATCGGACGAAAGTGCGTCGCAGCGGCGACGCAATCCCAATTGCGGTGCGCGCACCCCCCTCCGCTTCCGCGTCTTCCGCCTGTTGGTTCCGCAAGTGCCGCAAAAGCTCCGACACGTCGCAGCTTCCTCCGCTGTGGCTCAGGCTGCTCGAGCGACAGGCGAAGCTGCTTTTGACGGGCAAAGCTTCAGCTCCCCTAGACGACGGCGACGAAGACAGAGGTACGCGATGAGCGACGGGATTCAGACGTTTAGGACTCGCGTGCGACGCGTGCGACCGCCTCGTGGCCTCTGCGCCATGATCTCGGATCAAAGGTGCGACATCTTGGCTAGCACCACTGCGGCGAAGACCAGTTCTTCTGCCACCTGCGCCGCCGCTGCCAGCGCCGTCACTGACGCCACGTTTCGGCGAGTCCGCATCCCAGTCATGAATCCTAGTAAAGCGAATTGCCCGGCTGCTATCAGTAGCAGTAGCAGTCGCGGTCACCTTGCGGTCACGTTCAGTCGCGGTCGCCTTGCGCGGAACCACAGAGCGGAGCGGAGAGCCCTGTGGAGAGTCCAGCAGCTTAGGCCTCGCGCACGCGTCGATCGGACTGTACGAATCGCGCGAATTGCATGACGGGAGTGGGCTTACGCAGCAAGAAGGCCTCGCGCACGCGTGCGTCGGACTGCACGCATTTCGCGAATCGCGCGAATTGCGAATCAGTAGTGGGCTTACGCAGGGCCGCGCTACGCCTGACTGCGGCGGCGCGCAGCTTCCACCAGCAGAATCCCACCTTTCGTTTCCCCGCGTTTCAAGGGTGGTACTGCTAGTAGTGCGGCTACCATTGGCGGGGGCTGTACTATTTTTCCGCGCGTCGCGCTCCTCACGATCCATCTCGTCCTCTAGCATCTGCACCAATCGCGCCATGTCGCAGCTCCCGCCGCTCCCCGCCAGTGTTGCCCTACCGGCGGGCAGGCGGCGCTCCGACCGCTTCCCCGCGGCGGTGCCCGTGGCGGCGGCACACCCCTTCCGCGCGTCGCGCTCCTCGCGGTCCATCTCGTCCTCTAGCATCTGCACCACCCGCGCCATGTCGCAGCTCCCGCCGCTCCTCGACAGCCGCAGGCGCTCCGACTGTTTCACCCCGGCGGAGCCGGTGGCGGCCCGCGGAACGTGCCGGTGCGCGGAGCGAGTTCCCGCCGGCGGGGAGTCGCATTCGCGCGCGTCCATCGATGAGACGAGACGCCCGACGTCGCAGCTTCCGCCGGAGCGCTGTAGCCCCCCTCGTATCGGCTGCATTCTCTGCCCAGCAATCGCTGCAGTAGTTACGGCAGCAGTCGTGCTGCCTCTGATAGTGCCGGCGCGCGCTTCGATACTATCCATACTAATTCTAGTAGCATCCCTGCGCCGAGTCTCCCGTCGCGTAGCCAAGATCCGCTCCCATTGCTCGTCAGTCCCGAAGGTAAGCGGCTGTTGCGGCTGCGCGTCACGCGCAGGGTGAATGTGGTCGGCGCTCCCACGGTGCTGCTCCTTCCGCTGCTCCTTTCGCTGCTCCCTCTGCTGCTCCTTCTGCTGCTGCTTCTGCTGCCCCTGCCGCATCTGCCCGTCAGCTTGCGTTCCGTAGCTGTCAGAAGCGCGGGCGGCGCAAGCTCTCGATACCACCGCGATGCCCTGCTGCGGCTCCGGAAGAGTCGGCGCGGATGCGCGGCGCAGAAGCGAGGCGGAAGGCGGAAGATGAGGAGGACCCGCGGGAGCGGATGCGGGGCCGGGGGAGTAGACGGAGTGAGCGGAGGACGACGCCGCGGCAGCACAGGTTGCGGGGGCTTGTGGCGCGCAGGAGGGGGAGAGATTTCGCGCAAGTGACGAGGGGGAAGGGACGTTCAAGGAAAGGTGCAGTTTGCGCGACTGCGATCCATCGGGGGAGTGGGCCATGCTGGGGAAAGGCGGAATCAGGCTGGGGGAGCTCTCGCGGGGAGGGGTTAGCGCAGCGAGCGCGCATCGCCTCTGCACCTGTAGGGCTTGCGGACGCGTGCGGCGGCGACGGCTGAAATCTCGCGTCTCTGGATGATGCTGATGCTGCTCCGTGCCTTCATGCCTCGGGTAGGACTGCATTTCGACGTTCTAGCTAGCCGGGAAACGCTGAAGAAATTATGGCGTGCTGCTGATCCGTCCATCCGTCGCAAAAATTGGTCTCGAAACTATCAGAACGAGAATTATGGGAGTGAGCAGTGATTTACGCCAAGTCCCCAGCGTAAAGTAGCTGTGCGATTCAGGGTGGGTGAGTGGTATGCTTGCTGGATGGCGCGTGGTGCTCGTTCTGGCAGCTTTTCTGATCAACTTGACAGCACTGCAATTCTCACAAATTGCAGGCTCTGCTACGAAATCCGGCCCTGCAAATACGGCCATTTTCAGGTGCATGCAGCTTAGTCGAGGCGCGTTATTCAGGTGCATGCCAGGTTGCGTACACTTTTCTCAGGTTAAACAATTTCTCCCGTAAATGAATACGCAGTTCAAGATTCGATAAAAATTGACACAAAAGGTCTGAAATAGATGGAATTTCGGAATACGCAAATCGGAATCGGGATGATTGGCTTTCGATGCTGCATTTTCTGACGTAACTCAGTGCAATGATTGCATTTCTGCCCAGTTTCTACGCAATTTTTTGCTTCGCACCAAATCTTTTTGAACGGATTGTAATGCTAAATCGTTTGTACTGTTGGCGCAGGTGGCGGACGCTTCGCGGGTCAAATCAGCAAACTCTAGTGGGACGTGCATTGCTTGAAAAGGGTAGTCCGAAACACGATAAATATGCCCGAGTGTTAAGAGTGAGTTACCCCTACCGCTATTAAGGATATATCGTATGTTACATGTATATTTAATGCCACGTAATTAAGGCCGTTGAATACCACCTATTTCAATATGCACGTACGGCAAACTTAGTTTGGTAGAGGCAAAATATACAAACACTCACGAAGGGTTTGCTGATTTGCCATGCGCAGCGTCCGTCATCTGCGTCAAAAGTACAACAGATCTAGCATTAGATTCGTTCGAAATGAGTTGGTGCAAAGCAAAAAATTGCGTATAAATTGGACAAAATGCAATCATTGCACTGAGTTACGTCAGAAAATGCAGCATCGAGAGCCAACCATTCCGATTCCAATTTGCGTAGCCCGAAATTGCATCTATTTCAGACCTTTTGTGCCAATTTTAATCGAATCTTGAACTGCGTGATATTTTACGAGAGACATTTTTTAACCTGAGAAAAGTGTAAGCAACCTGGCATGCACCTGAATAACGCGCCTCGACTAAGCTGCATGCACCTGAAAATGGCCGCTGCAAACATGAACGTCACTCCAAACACGTGGGAATATACATCTGCAGCGATAAAGGCGATTTTGGCAAACGCCTCGCCAGGCTTTCGCTGATTGCACGCGCAAGGTGCCAGCTTGGTTACCTGATGGTGCCCAGATTGCGCTGGGAGATGCGTTCGCAATGAAATCGATTGCTTTGCGATGCGAATCAGCGACGCTCGCACAAAGGCAAGCTGCCAATCTGGCACTTCTGCTGTCGCTGGCGAGGCGACCATATCTGTTAATGGAATCTTTGTCGCCAGGCCACGACTGTTCCCTGTGGGCCTGTGTGAAGCCATCCCCCACGTCAGCAAGGGAACTACTGTACCCATAGCTTCGCACGTCGTTAACGTCCTGCGAGTCAATCGCACTGTCGCAAAAAAATCATCGCAACGTGGCTCTCCCGGTAGAATATTGCTGCCTGGCGTGTAACCAATACGGTTATTGTTGTATCCATATATTATATTTATGTATCAAGCTCAAGCTGGATTTCATCATATATTCATATTGCGCCTAAGCCCGCTGGCCCTCACAGTTAGTGCCCATGGCTAGCGCACGTCATCCAAACACCAAAGCTGTCTTTATAACACGAAATACGCCTTAACGGAACTATCAGTGAGATCTGGACGCAACAACATCGCCATGCCAATGCCGAGATCCATGTGTAACAGTACGCAAGGACCCATCTAATTATGACCCAAGCCAGACTTGCTCTTCACTTCCCTTTTTTACTTTCAGCCCTCCACTGCCCTTCACTGCTCTTTCTCAACTCCTTGTCCCCCGCTTCTGCCTCTGCCCAAGGGTCTGCCATTTCACTTCCTGCCCTTCCTCTGCTTCTGCTTCTTTCCCTTCGCTGCAACCTGCACGGCCGCAGCAACCCTCATATCCACATCACTTTTCCGCATGCGAATGGCTTTCCCAGACGTCTCGTCTTCCCCACTCGACGATGATGCAGAATCACCACCAACTTCCAACACCACCGCTGCTGCTGCTAATGCTTCCGCTGGTGCTGCTGCTGTTTCTACTGCCGTCCCTGCTGCTGCTCCTGGCGTTTTTGATGCTGCTGCCACTGCCACCGCCACAGGCATTGCTGACCGTAGATCCACCGATCGATCCGACGGTATGCTGTGATCCGCCATGGCATCAGCCGTGGCAGCCCGCACACTCTTAGTTTCCAGCACCACCAGCTGCCGGTGCTCCAGCTCAAAGCACATGAACGGCTGGCTATCCCAGTCCGCTGTGCACGCGTCCACCAGCGCTGCCAGCTGCCGCACGTTGCGCACCCGCGTGCCGTTGAGGGACACGAGGCACGTGTTGGTGATGTCCTCGTAGCCTATATTAGCCTCGTGCGCTAGCACCTGGTTGGGGTTCAAGGTTGTGGGGGGTGAGAGTGGGTTGACACAGGGGTAAAGGACATGGGGATATGGGAGTGCTGTTGAAAGCAGCCTGGCACGTGTTGGTGATGTCCTCGTACCCGATATTCGCCTCGTGCGCTAGTACCTGGGGAGAAGTGGGAGGCAGGGGAAGAGGCAGCGTAAGAGTAAGAAGAGGGGGCATCATCAGCCATAGTAGCATTGAGAGACACGAGGCACGTGTTGGTGATGTCCTTGTACCTGATATTTGCCTCGTGCGCTAGCATCTGGCGGGAGGTTGCAAAGGGTTGGTATGTGTGAAGGGTGAGAACATGGGAGTGCTGGTGAAGGCGTCCAGGCAAGTGTTGGTGATGTCTTGATACCCAAGGACGGCTTTAAGGGCTAACACCTGGTCACAGAAGGGGGAAAGGGGATGGGGAGACGAGCATACAAGCTGTCAAGAGACCAGGGTGTGCCGTTGAGACGGACGAGGCATGTGTTGGTGATGTCCCAGTAGCCTAATTTGGCCTCATGGGGTTAGCATGCCCATGCAGCAAGGTTATGATTTGCGTGGCTCAATGGACGTCCCTTTCCTGAATCAAACCAGGCCTAGAATATGCTACTCACCTGCCCTGACCACCAGCAAGCCCCAACCTGCCGTTAAACACAAAAATCCTTGCAGCAACCACAGCAATCCCTGCAGCCATCTTTTACCCCTCTCAACTGTTCCTCACCTGGCTGAGCACCACCACCTCTTCGTCCTCATGCTCCACATGCCCATGCAGCAGCTTCTGCAGCAGCGAAATTGGCAACTCAACAGACGCCACTAACCAAACCCCAGGCAAGCCAAACGAACAACCTACAACCTGCCTCAACCATTTCTCACCTGTCTCAACCATTCCTCACCTGACTCAGCACCACCACCTCTTCGTCCTCATGCTCCGCATGCCCATGCAGCAGCTTCTGCAGCAGCGAGACCGGCGACTCAAACTCAAACTCGCTCCCATACTCCGACTGCAAAAACGGCTGCACCGCCGGAGTGAAAACAAGCCCTGCTACAATCAAATAGGTCGGTGGTTTCCCTCCCGTGTGGACCGGAATGAGCCGTTTCGGCGGCTTCAGCTCCACCTGAACTTTCATCAGCTGCCCGTCACGAAGAATTTCCAGCCGGGCAACCTCGCCGGAAAACTTTTGGCTGACCAGAAACCCGTAGGAGATGCGCTCGCCGGTTCGGAAAGGCACGGTGCCGTCGCTAGCGATCGGTACACCGTCAAAAGACATAATCACATCCCCTTGCTGTAGCATCCCGTGGGCTTTAGACGTCGGGTCGACTTTTCGCACGAGAACGCCCTTCTGCCCGGGCGACATTTTCAGAGCTGCCCGAAGCGCAGGATTTTCCAGCCTCTGCCAGAGGATTCCGATCGCGGGAAAACCGGTGTACTGCCCGTTCCGCCGATAATCCCCGAGAAAATGCGAGATGACCGGCGTCGGGATAATGTACCCAATATTCTCCGTGTCACTATCTTTTAGAGACTGAAACGCTATCCCTACGCACTCCCCGCGGTCATTGAAAGCGGGGCCGCCACTGTTCCCGGGGTTGATTGCCGCGTCGATTTGCACGCCTAGGAGCTCTGACGCGCCGTGAGCATATGCGGTTACTTCTATGCGCGAGACGACCCCAGAGGTGACTGATATGCTGTCGCCCCCCACTGGGTACCCCACCACTGTCACTGCGTCTTCCAAGTGAGGGAGGCCGCCGAACCTGCGTTTGAGAGAGAACAAGGAAGTGAAGCAGGAGATGGAACGCGGGAGAGGGAGGGGGGTTGGGGATTGCTGCGTCGATTTGCACCCCTAGGAGCTCTGAGGCGCCGTGAGCGTATGCGGTTACTTCTATACGTGAGACGACGCCAGAGGTGACTGATATGCTGTCGCCTCCCACGGGGTACCCCACCACTGTCACCGCATCCTCTAAGTGAGGGAGACCACCAAACCTGTGCGTGAGGTGTAGGGTAGAAACGGAGAGTGGGAGGAGAGCAAAGAGCAGGAGTGAGATGCTGTCGCCTCCCACTGGGTACCCCACCACTGTCACCGCATCCTCCAAATGAGGGAGATCGCCGAACCTGTGAGTGAGGGGAGGAGAGGATGAGGGGCGGAGACGGAGAGTGGGAGAGTGAGTGGAGAGGAGTAACCCACCACTCGCACCACATCCTCTATATGAGGGAGACCGCCGAACCTGCAGAGGAGTGAAAGGGCCAGGCAGAGGGGGGGGAAGGGAGTTAAGTGACTGGAAAGGGATGGGAGTGAGAGGGTGGGAGCAGGGTATCTCACTACTGTCACCGCATCCTCTTATTGGGGGCTTATCACTTCACAGCACCTCACTAGAGGAGAGAGGTGTCGCACTCCACACAGATCGTTGGCACGCAGTACCTGTGCGGAAGCACCTGTGGGGCTGTCGGCACTGCACTGCACCTCACAACACCTTACACCACCTCACAGCACCGCACCTGAGAGCCTGGCGGCCCTGCAAAAACGAAGCGTCGTCCACGGCGAACAGCGCGATGTCGCACTCCACACCGATCGCCATCAGCACCTCACTGCACCTCTCAGCACCTCACCAGAACACGCAGTACCTGGGCAACTGGGCAAATGTCAGCACCCCACAGCACCCCACAGCACCTCACCTGAGTGGTTGGCAGCTCTGCCAGAAGGATTCGTCGTCCACAGCGAGCAGCGCGATGTCACACTCCACTCCGATCGTTCGCACAAAGTGCCCTAAGGGACGCACCTGAGTGGCTGTCGGCACCCCACAGCACCCCACCGCACCTGAGTCGTCCACAGCGAGGAGCGCGATGTCACTCCACGCCGATTGCCAGCATGCGTGACCTGTGTGGAAGAACCTGGGCAACTGCCAGCACCCCACATCACCTCACACCCCCTCACACCACCTCACAGCACCTCACCTGAGGGGTTGGCGGCCCTGCCAAAACGATTCGTCGTCCACAGCGAGTAACGCAATGTCGCACTCAACTCCAATCGCCAGCACGCGTGCGACGAACTTGGTGTCGTCGCCGCGTCGCTTCAGCTTCACCTGCGAGTGGTGCCGTACGCGATACAATGCGCGTTCGTATAAAACGAGACATCCCAAAATTGAAAAGAAACGAAAAGAGACAAACAGAGGCGTCTCGAAGTTTCACCTGCGTGTGGTGTTCCACGCAATGCGCGTTCGTCAAAATTCGCCTGCCCGGAATCATGAACCCGCTGCCCGTCGACGAAAACTGCCGCCGCTTCTGCCAGGGCAGAGAGAAATTCGGCTGCGTGTGCGTACAGTACACCTTAACGACCGCGTCTAGAAACGGGGAATCCGGCACGTCATCCTCGATATTGTCTCGGGACCCGCTAAGAAGCCACGCCGCGTCCACGTCCTTGGATAAACCCAGATCGCCCAAATCGGACGGTTTCGCTTCGAGCAAACCCCCGTTGCCGGTGAGCTCGTTAGCTCCAAAAGCCGAGCCGCCGTGTCCGCTACCCCCCCTTCGCTGCTGCTTCGCTTCCTGGCCGGATCCTCCTAGACCAATTTTCCCGCCTTTTTTCTTAGAGGCATCCTTGACGATTCGAGAGGATTTAGAGGAAGCCCGAGCCGCGACCCCACGAGGCGCCTGCTGTTGTTGGCTCGGAAGGAGTAAGAGCGGCGCGGAGGTTAGGAGAGCAGATTTGGACGCGGCTCCACGTCGGTTCTTCGACTCGGCATCCGCGATTTGCGGCGATGGCGCGGGACTTAATGGGGAGCGGAGGCCGTTGGCGGGGAGCGTGAGCGGGGATACGCGGAGGATAGACGGGGAGGGGAGTGCTGGGGAGGCGGAATGGAGGCGGGAGAGGAGCGCGCATGGTCGCCCTCGTTTTAGGCACGAATGTGATAGAAACGAGGTGAAACTGATGGCCTGGAAGAGGCCCTGCTGAGTGGCTCGCGCGGCGACTAGAACAACCATGCTGGACGATAATTGGTCTGACGAGGAAAATGGGATGGATGTGTTGCGACACGGATCACGCTCGACGCGAGAACACAGAAGGATCCGAAGTGGCGAATAGGAATCCGGCAACGGGTGCGAGGTCCCTGCCTCGACCAGAGGCAAAATGCTCCAGCGACACTGATTAAAGCGTAATCTGGAACCCTAAGTAGCTCAAAAGTGATGCTCCGAGGTATGTGTGGTGGAAGGTTGCTTGGTGCAAGTGTGGTTGAGGGCTGGGGAATATTCTGTCTGACAGGAAAACTGGTGGTGTAGCTGGATTCGGCGATGTAACATTGTGAACCATGGTACCGAAGCTATCCAGAACGAAGAAGCACAGGATTCCGCGATTTGGAGCCGTTCGTGAACTCTCTCTTCGCTAACGTTTTCGTCTCGACAATCTCTAGGAAGTTATCTGCACGGGTGATCGCTTCTGGAATTTTCGCTTGTGCGACCCTGGACACTGAAAATGGTTGCCACCAGGCAACATCAATGCTTCCAGAATCCAGATGGATTTCACCAGCACTTCAGCATCTTCACCACACTGTAGCCCACAGAAACATAGCAAACCGTGTCGAACCTATCTCAAAGTCCGAATTTGCTGGTTCTCTCGAACAAAATGCGGCAAACCATTCTCATCACACAGAGACAGTTTCAACCAGAGCAGATTGCATGCTATGCCATCAGTTTCTTCATTCTGATTTCCGTGAGGGGCGACGGTTGTTCTATTAGACGGGAGAAACCGCAGGTTGAGCTTAAGGGCGTGTATCTTTTGCCCGGACCGACTGTCCGGACGGCGTGCGAAAACTTTCGTCAATGCTCGCATGCTCTTCAATTCGATAACGGGCTCAAACGGTCCGGACAGTGAGCTGGATACCCTATTCGAATGCCGTCCGTACCGAGTGGTCCGGGCAAAAGATACACGCCCTAACACGTATGTTTTCGTATTGTGAGAGCTGTTCGCATGGATAGTTGCTGGTTCCAGCTTCATGAGTAGATCCCTGAACTATGTTGCAAGTCCAACGCTTAGGAGCGAGCATCGGGAAAGTTAAATGCCATTATAAATAGGAAGATCAACGAATAATCGTCATGGCGGATTCGGCCGGACCGCCTGTGGCGAGTCTGCAGCTGGCGAAGCCTCGCAGCATGTTCCTCTGCGGCTCGCTGCCGGTCTGGCTCGACCGCGAGTTCACTACGCTCGAGTTCTCTCCGGGCATATCGAGGTCCTTCTTCAACGATAGGTGCGTGTTTCTGAGTCGACTTAAAATCAAGTCTGGCTGGACCGCGAGTTCACCACGCTCGAGTTCTCGCCGGGCATATCGAGGTCTTTCTTCAGCCATAGGTAATCGCTATGCGACACAAGATGGATCTCTCTGAACATCATCTTTTCCTATGTATCAATATTTAGAAGTTCGCTCCAGGATTCTATAAAAGCCTTTATTAGCCACTGGTGACACCGTTTTATTCCTACCCAGATTTCTCTCCTCGGTTTTTCACTTCTAACCTAGCCAATCCCTCGTCCTTTCCCTCTTCTACAGGACTCCCGGCATTCCCAAGGTGATCCCTCCCCCAGTCCGGCCGTCCCTAGACACCCACCCTCCCGCATGGCTGCACCGGGACAACATTCTCCTGCCAGTCGACCGCCCCTCGGACCCTCCAGGCTCCACCTGGGGAGGGTCGTATCTGCAGCACAGTGGCGCGCGCAAGTGCGAGGCGCTGGCGGTGAGGGGGCTGGCGGAGTTTGGGGAGGACGCGGTGGACGTGATAGCGCCCGCGGACGTGCTCAAGCAGCTCTTCAAGCTGCCGTTTTCCAAGGCGAGCCTCTTTGTCAGCGTGCACCGCGTTGGCCGCACGCTTGTTCTGAACCCCGGGTGAGTGATTGAATCATGCTGCTGCTGGGGGAAGCCTTACCCTGGGGTGGACGTGATAGCGCCCGCGGACGTGCTCAAGCAGCTCTTCAAGCTGCCGTTTTCCAAAGCTAGCCTGTTTGTCAGCGTGCACCGCGTCAGCCGCATGCTCGTGCTCAACCCGGGGTGAGTGGGGCCCACCTTACCTTAGGCACTGCCAATGCCAATCCAGGGCGTGGGCTGGTGCTGGGGGGAGCCTTACCCTGAAGTCGCAGTAGACATGACTGCGCCTGCGGACGTGCTCAAGCAGCTCTTCAAGCTGCCCTTCTCCAAAGCGAGCCTCTTTGTCAGCGTTCACCGTGTTGGCCGCACGCTCGTGCTCTACCCCGGGTGAGTTGATGCTGCTGATGAGTGCTTCGTTTGAGGCGCCTCAACCCAGGGGGAATGAGGGCTGATGCTGCTGGGTGAAGCCTTACCCTGAGATGGACGTAATAGCGCCCGTGGACGTGCTCAAGCAACTGTTCAAGCTGCCGTTTTCTAAGGCGAGCCTGTTTGTCAGCGTGCACCGCGTCGGCCGCACGCTCGTGCTCAACCCCGGGTGAGTGTGTGCTGCTGCTGCTGCTGGGAAGCCTTACCCTGAGGTGGACGTGATAGCGCCCGCGGACGTGCTCAAGCAGCTGTTTAAGCTTCCATTTCAAAACCGAGCTTGTTTGTCACCGTGCACCGCTCTCGTTCTTTCCACTAATCCCCACCCTCTTCCTCCCCTCATCCCCCTCTCAGCTCCGACCCTGGCTGTGTGGACTCCCACAAGGTCGCACGGACCTCCAGAGGACAACGCGAGGCGATTCTGCTCTCAAAGCTGGTAACCCCAGAGTTACACAGTCAGCAAGGCGCGTCCCCTAGCAACAGAGCCACCAGCAGAGGCATCGGGAGCAGCAGCACCAGTGCCATCGGCTCGTCTGCAGTTTCTGGTGGTGCCGGCGGCAGCAGCAGCAGCAATGGTTCAAGAAAAGGTCTGCCTAATGCTGCTTCTTTGCCAAGAACCTTCACGGATTTTGTGGGGGATGCGGAAGGCGTGGTGCGAGTGTGTGATCACAAGAATCAGCAGCAGCAGGAGCTGGGGCAGATGGATCGGCAGCAGCAACAGCAGCAGCAGCAGCAGCAGCAGCAGCAGCAGCAGCAGCAGCAGCAGCAGCAGCAGCAGCAGCAGCAGCAGCAGCAGCAGCAGCAGCAGCAGCAGCAGCAGCAGCAGCAGCAGCAGCAGCAGCAGCCGCTGCACACATCTGAGGAGCCTCTAAAAACCTTCACGGATTTCGTGGGCGATGCGGAAGGCGTTGTGCGAGTGTGCGATAATAGGAATCAGCAGCAGCAGGAGCAGCGGCAGATGAATCATCATCAGCAGCAGCGGCAGCACACTTCTGAAGCGCCAGAAAAATCTTTTACCGATTTTGTTGGGGATGCGGAAGGTGTGGTGCGAGTGTGCGATCACAACAGTCAGCAGCAGATGGAACGGCAACAGCAAGAACAGCAGCTGCAGCAGCAGTTTGGGCTGCAGAAGGCTGTTGGAAACGACGCTACTTGCACTGGTGGTTTGAGAAATCAGATTGAAGGCGTTCAAGGGGAATTGGAAGTGGAAGAGGAGGAAGAGCAGGAGGAAGAGGAGGGATATGCGCGTTGGGAGGATTCTGGGAAGGGTAGGTCATGCAGCAAGCGTGGGAAAAGGCTGAGCAGTGGTAGCAGAGGAGGAGCAGGGAAACGAATGGAAACAGGAAGAAGGGCGGGAGGTGGGGGGAAACGAATGGAGGCAGGAGGGGGAGGAGTGGAGGCAGAGACAGGGGCGGATGGGTTTTCTCGAGTGGTGTTCTGGCAATTTGAGCATCTGAGGCTGTTTCTGGGAAGCGACCTGATTCTGTTCAGCAATGAGAAGCATGCTGCCGTCAGCCTTCACCTGGTTGACGTGGAGCATGAGGTAGGAAGTTTTGGTTTCATACTCTTTTGATCCAGGGTGGATGGTGTTCTTTCATGAAGCTTCTCAACGTGCTCTATTCCGCACCTCCTCCTCACCCCGCCCTACACACACATCCAGAGCTCCCACCTCATGGCAGGAGTACCAGAGCTCGCCATCTGCTACCACCACAAGGGGGTCGTGCAGGGCTACGAGCTGCTGCACTGCGACGACGTGTTTCTCTCAAGTGGCGCTTCAGGGCCCCTCAAACCCACACTTCTACTCTGTTTCGAGCCAGGATTTCGCGCTAAGAGGCTTTCCTACGTGCTTCCTTCCCCCCCACTTGTCCCCCCAGAGCTCCCCTTTGGTGTGGCTCGATATATGGCTGGATAATCTCATGGCAGGAGTACCCGAGCTAGCCATCTGCTACCACCACAAGGGCGCCGTGCAGGGCTACGAGCTGCTGCACTGCGACGACGTGTTTCTGCTCAAGTGCCTCGCCAGGGACGGCTCCGCGTCATTTTACCCCCACGCTGTGAGGGACAGTGCGCTCGCGATTCTGGCATTCCTGCAGGAGAAATGCGCACGAAGCCCCGGCACCTACTGGGTGAGTCCTCCTGATTCTCAAAGACCCATCACAGCTGCTGCACTGTGCCAACGTGTTTCTGCTCAAGTGCCTGGCAAGAAGCGGCTCGGCGTCCTTCTATCCACACGCTGTGAGGGACAGTGCGCTTGCCATCCTGGGGTTCCTGCAGGAGAAATGTGCACGCAGCCCCGGCACCTACTGGGTGAGTCCTATGCCGATTCCCCACGATCTATTAGTGTGTGGGGCAGGTTGTTGAGAGGCACACATCTGCCATCCTGGGGTTCCTGCAGGACAAGTGTGCACGCAGCCCCGGCACCTACTGGGTGAGTCCTCCAAACACCCTGATTCTTCACTCCCCACTGTCTCATGTCACCCGAGAATTTTTTGTTCCTTCTCCTCACCCAACTTCCCTTCCACCTCTGTTCCTCCCATCTCAATCCCCTCTGCTCCCCGCTACTCCCCCCCCCCTTCCATCTCCCTCCCTCCCTCCCTCCCTCCCTTCTCCCCTCCCCCTCTTGTCAGCTTCGAAAGGACACAGGCACGGACGTGCTGCAGCTATTCAGCCTCACTCCACCGCTCCGTACCCCTCTCCCTCTCACTCTTCCCCTTCCGCTGCCCCCTTGCCAACCCTCCTTTCTTCCTCCCATCTCTTTCCTCCCCCTCCCTGCAGCTTCGCAAGGACGCAGGCACGGACGTGCTGCAGCTGTTCGACCTCACTCCACCGCTCCAGAACCCATCTGCACCACTCCGCCTCGCCCCCTCCCTCGCCACCCATCCCTCTGCGTCAGAAGCAACACCCAGCCACGTTAGCACGACCTCTTCTTCCTCAAACGCTTCAACCTTGGGAGAACCATCAGGGAACGCAGCAGGCGAGGCAGCATTGGCAAGAGGGGGACAAGCAAGAGAAGGAGAAGGGGAGGCAGCATGGGCAAGAGGGGGACAGGCAAGAGAAGGAGCAGGGGAGGCAGCATGGGCAAGAGGGGGACAGGCAAGAGAAGGAGCAGGGGAGGCAGCATGGGCAAGAGGGGGACAGGCAAGAGAAGGAGCAGGGGAGGCAGCATGGGCAAGAGGGGGACAGGCAAGAGAAGGAGCAGGGGAGGCAGCATGGGCAAGAGGGGGACAGGCAAGAGAAGGAGCAGGGGAGGCAGCAGGGGGCCAGGCAGGGGGACTAGCGGGGCGAGCAGGTGTGAATTCCCCTCTGCCTTCTCTTGATCCGGCTGTAGCAGCACGCCTCTCCCTACCCCTCGCCATGCTGCTCTATCGCCTGGCCCTTCGCCTCTCAGACTCGCACGTGTCGCGGGATAGGCACAGGACGGCACAGCTGTTTGGGTACTGTCTGCAGCTGCTGCACCAGAAAGACCACCCGGTAAGCACTCATCAGCCCCCTAGTTCCCCCTAGTGCTCCCCCTAGCGCTCCCACTAGCGCTCCCCCTAGTGCTCCTCCACGCCCCTCCCCCTGCCCCTCGCCATGCTGCTCTATCGCCTGGCCCTTTGCCTCTCAGACTCCCTCGTGCCTCGGGACCGCCACAGGACGGCCCAGCTGTTTGGAAACTGCCTGCAACTGTTGCACCAGAAAGGCGACGAGACGAGCTCCCATCTCTCCTCCACCACCCTTCCTTCCTCCTGCCATCTTCACTTTCTCTACTCTTTGTTCCAGAAGGAGCTGGGGCCCCAACCCCTGCATCTTCCTCCTCGCTTATTGAGACGTCTCAAAATTCCCGGCCCCATCCCCTGCCTCTTCCTCCTCACTCACCCCTCGCTTGCTCTTCCTGCAGCAACAGCCCACGAGTACATGGCGCGCTTCTTTCTGCAGATCCCACAGGACGAGCTACCATCTCTCCTTTATCCTCCTCCGCTCCTTCAAACTTCAATTCCTTTATCCCCAACTCCAACCCTGCTTTCTCCGTCTCCCCTACCTCCCTCCAGGGTCTTCGAGCAACAGCCCACGAGTACATGGCGCGCTTCTTTCTGCAGATCCCACAGGACGAGCTACCATCTCTCCTTTATCCTCCTCCGCTCCTTCAAACTTCAATTCCTTTATCCCCAACTCCAACCCTGCTTTCTCCGTCTCCCCTACCTCCCTCCAGGGTCTTCGAGCAACAGCCCACGAGTACATGGCGCGCTTCTTTCTGCAGATCCCACAGGACGAGCTACCATCTCTCCTTTATCCTCCTCCGCTCCTTCAAACTTCAATTCCTGTATCCCCAACTCCAACCCTGCTTTCTCCGTCTCCCCTACCTCCCCCCAGGGTCTTCGAGCAACAGCCCACGAGTACATGGCGCGTTTCTTCCTGCAAATCCCGCAGGACGAGCTTCCATCTCTCCTCCAACCCTCGCACCTCCACTCCCCCCTCCTGCAACCGCGGCTCCCCCACCCCCCCCTCCTCCACTCATCAGCTCCCCATACCCCTCTCCCTCACCCTCCCATCCCCCGTCCCTCCCTTCTCCATCCTTCCCTCCAACCGTCACTCCCACATCCCTCCTCGCTCCACCTCCCGCTCCTCCCACCAGTCACGTTTCTATCCTCCCATCTGCCCGCTTCGAATCTCCTACCCTTCTCCACTCCCTCCTCCCAATCTGCCCCCGCTCTCACCCTCTCCCCTCGCCTCACCATCACTTCTCCCGAAGATGCTGCTCCTGCTGCTGCTGCTGCTGCTCCTGATGAGTCCACTGCAGACGCTGAAGGTTCCCAGGAGCTGGCCATTATTCCCAGGAGCGACGCTCACTTGGCGTTCATTCCCAAAGCCAGTCAGCACTTGGCTGTGATTCCCGGTGCACCCAGGAGCCCACAGCTCACAATCAACTCGCCAACAACACGTGGGTTCGGGGCAGCAGTAGCACAGGAGTCAGAAGCAGTTGTAGCAAATGAATCAGTCACACAGGAATCAAAGGTTGTGACAGCAGCTGAGCCAGGAGCAGCGGCTGAAGCAGAACAAGAAGCAGCAGCAGCAGCAGCAGCAGCAGCAGCAGCAGCAGCAGCAGCAGCAGCAGCAGCAGCAGCAGCAGCAGCAGCAGCAGCAGCAGCAGCAGCAGCAGCAGCAGCAGCAGCAGCAGCAGCAGCAGCAGCAGCAGCAGCAGCAGCAGCAGCAGCAGCAGCAGCAGCAGCAGCAGCAGCAGCAGCAGCAGCAGAAAAAGAAGCAGCAGCAGCAGAAGAACCAGAAGCAGCAGCGGCACCAATATCCCTATTTTTGCCCCCTCCGCCCTCTACACTGGAAGACGCAGAGAGTGCTGTTGCACAAGCAGCAGCGGGGGCAGAAGCAGCAGCAGAGGTAAACGTGGCAGGAGCAAAAGCAGCCGCAGGGGCAGAAGAAACAGCAGGTGCAGAAGCACCAGCAGGGGCAGAAGAAACAGCGGGTGCAGAAGCATCGACAGATTCACAAGCAGCACCAAAATCAAAACCACTGCTGCCAGCCCGTTCCCCTCCCCCTGCTGTCGACGATGCAGAGAGCGTAGTAGCGGTCCGGTTGGCATCCGTGTGGCATGCCACGCAGGCAATTGGTGCGCTGAGGTGGCAGCGACACCTGCTGACTCACACGCAGGAGAGCCTAATGAACCCCCCTCTATCCCTCCTCCACAGCTTGAGGGCCTACTCTTCTTCTGGTATGTGTCTCTGTGGGGAATCCTGCTGCCTTTCCCAGGGGTCTGGTGGGGTTTGTGGGGATGGGAGGGCGTTTGGAGTGGTTGAGGAAGAGAGGAGGAGGGGCAAGGGGAAGGGGCGGAGGGGGTCGAAGGGAAGGGGAAGACAGGGGATGGGGAAAATGGAGGGAGGGGTGGAGGCAGGGGAGGAGTGGGGGGAGGAGGAAGGGAGGGATGGGGATGAGGACGCACGCTCTTCTTGTTCCCTGGGTAGCACTTGCAGCAGTGTTGGCGCTGCTTCTGCTGCCTCTGCTGGTTCTGCTGCAGCAGGTGTTACCAGCGGTGGTGTGGTTACCACCAGCAATGCGGTTACCAGCAGCGCCACTGCAGTTACCGATCAGCGTATCTGTAAGCTGATAGCGCTCCTAGGAGAGGCATATCTGGGCCTGGCAGAAGCTTATAAGGGGGATGGGCAAGTGGGGAGGGCTTTAAGAGCCGCTGAGCTGGCATGTGTGGTTGTAGGGGGGTGGCCTTGGGATTTGGAGGATCTAGGCTTGGGAGGGGAAGGGGAGGGGGAAGAGGGGGTAGTGGGAGGAGAGGGAGAGGAGGGGAACGGGGAGGGAGGGGAGGAGGCTAGGTTTCGGGGGTTGGAGGGATGGGGGGTTGGAGGTGAGGGGAGGAGAGGGGAGGTTGGGGTTCCAGGCAATTCTGGGTTGTCAAGTTCAAGCGATTCCGGGTTGTCAAACTCAAGGGAGACTGGTGGGGAGGTCGGGGTTTCAGGCAATTCTGGGTTGTCAAGCTCAAGGGAGACTGGTGGCGAGCAGGAGGGAGGGAAAGCGGAGAGTGGGGCGAGAGAAGAGAGAGCGGCGAGAGGTGGGAGGAAGAAAGCGAAAGGGAGAGATAAGAAGCAGAAAAAGGGCGGAGGAGGGGCGGAAGGAGGAAATGCATTGCATGTAGCGAGTCAGACTGTAAAGGAGACAAGGGTGGAAGACAGGTTGAGGCTGTCTGATTCTGGCTGCTCAACATCTAATGCTCCTGTACCCCTTGCTGCTGCTGCCTCGCGTTCTGTCACACCACATGCAGCTAAACCGCGTACAGTCACACAGCATAGTGTCACACAATCTCTTGGTGGGGCTAAAACCAAGGACTCGTCAAAGCCCAGCCAATTATCTCGCAAGAATGAGAGGCAGCGCCGTGTGGCTGAATCTGGGGGACCAAAAAGGGTGGGGTCGAATGCAGTGGGGTTGAGCAGGGGAGCAGCAGGAGGGGTGTTGGCAGGAGGGGGAGAATCGGCAGGGTGGGAGGGTAGCATGTGGCTGTCTAGGCGTGTAAGTGGGAGGAGCTTCTGGGGGGAGCTGTGGGAGCTGGTAGGTGATCTCTATGTGGACCTCGAGACTAGGGTCGGAATGGGGTCGGAGCCGGAGCAAGCGGCAAGGCTCGGTGACCCGAAACAAGGCACGCGGGTTGGTGACCCGAAGCAAGGGGCGAGGCTCGGTGAGTCTAACCAAGGGTGGAGATCCGATGGCACGAAGCAAGAGACGAGGTTGGGTGAGGGGAGAAGGGAAGAAAGCAGTGTGGCAGTGCGGGCTGCAGCGGTGGCTGCAGAAGGTGAGGCGTCTGGGAGTGCAGAGCTGAGGATAGAGGAGGAGGTGGCGAGGGAGGTGAGACGCGTGAGGAAGAAGAGGAGGCAGAGGGAGGGTGGCGTTCAAGGGGTAGCAGGTGCAGGGGCAGCAGCAGGAGCAGCAAATACTGGTCAGGAGATTGGTGGTAGCAGGAGCAGGGGTGGTGTGGAAGGTGTGTGCAGTGTGTGTGGCCGGGGCGGCTGTAGCTGCTTGAACGAACGAGCAAGAAGGGAAGACGGTGGTTTGCCGAATACATTTTCATCATCTTCAGCACCATCAGCACCATCAGCACCATCATCCCTTCCCCCTGCCTCCTGCTCTGCAAACAGCTGGAAAACGCGTTGCTTTGGCCGCCCGTTTGTGCTCGACCCGAATGCCAACTACCAATCAGCAGCCGAGTTTTACTCCCGGGCAGCCGCTGCGTTCTCGGCCAATCACGACACGACAAGCAAGCAGGCGGTCATGAGGAAACGCGGATGGGCTTGCAACGAGCGCGGCCGATGGCTTCTCAACTCCCCTTCCTCCTCCTCTCCCTCCACCTCTCCCTCCTCCTCTTCCTCTGCCTCCTCTCCCTCTCCACCTCCCACTACCCCGCATACCACCATAGCTGCTGCACGGGCAGCACTGGTGGCGGCAGCAGAGGCGTTTTGGGAAGCGGGAGATGCCCCCAACGCTGCTCTCGTGCTCTGCAATCTCGGGCATGGGGAGAGGGCCGATGCTGAGGTGCTTGCTGCTCCCGTTCTGATGTGCTCTGAGCAAGCTGCTGCTGGTTCCGCTGCTGCTGCTGCTGCTGCTGCTGAAGATGCTACCACAAATGTTGACAATGATGAACTTGGTTCTGCCAGTGCTGGTGCTGGTGCAGATTTACTGAGCAAGTTTGAGAGAGCGAGGCAGAGGTATATGCGTGCCTTGGGGTGGTATGGGGATGCGCGTAGGGAGCTGATGAGGAGCGTGGGGGAAGGGAAGGCCGATGGTGCTGCCGATGGTAGTAAGGGCGTAATGGGAAGAGCAGGAGGAGCAGGGGGAGTAGAAGGAGGAGGGGGGGGTAAGGGTGGGGTGGGGTTAGGGAGTGAGGCAGCAGCAGCACGGGCATATGGGATGGTCTGGAGTGAGGTGAATCTGCAATTCGCCCACACTTACCTAAGAGTCGGCATGCTCATGGCCGCTGCAGAACGCCTGGGCCTTCCAATGGCCCCAACTGGGAATAGAAGAGAGAATGCAGATAGGTCTGGTCGATTTAGTGGAGGGAGGGTGGAGAACGAGGGAGGGGATGGGGATGGAGGGAGGGAGGGAGGGGGAGGGGAGGAAGGGGAGGGGAGTGAGGGGAGTGAGTTGGAGTGGGAGGTGAGAGGGTATGTTTCGGCGAAGGATGCTTTGAGTAAGGCTCTGATTTTGTATGAGTCGCTTGGGGCGAGCAGGCAGCAAGAGGCTGCCTTTGCTCACTTCCACCTTGCTGGTTACCACAGGGATTGTGCCTGCTGCTGCTGCTGCTGCTGCTGCTGCTGCTGCTGGAGGAGGAGCAGCAGGGGGTGTGGCAGATTGGCAGCAGCAGCAGAAGCGTCTGGCAGCGTTAGCAGAGGTGCATTGGCACAAGGCAGTGTGCTTCTATCGAGCGGACGCGCATCCAGACATGTTTGTGACTATATGCATGGAGAGGGCGGGCCTGGCGTTTGGTCTGGGGGGGCAACGTCAGCAACAACAGCAGTGGCAGGTATGGTTGTATAGAGTGTGCATTGCGGGCGGGCGTGCATTGCAGGTGTGGTGGACATGTTTGGGACTACATGCATGGGTTACCACCACCATTTGTCCCTCCCAACCGAGTCACCTTGCACCTTTGAGGCACCTCATGGCAGCACGAGCTTCGTTCGAGGCCCCTTTGAAATACTCTCTTCCCTTTGACTTGATCTCTTCCTTTCCCTCCCAACAGAGTCACCTCGCAGCTCTAAGACCTCCATGGCAGCACAGGCTGCTCTAACATCACCCCTAGGCCCTCCTGTGTTCTTTCCACCAGATAACCACCCTCTTCTTCCTGTCTCCTCTCGTCCCCTCTGTACAGAGTCACCTCGCAGCTCTAAGACACCTCATGGCAGCACAGGCTGCTCTATTATCACCCCCAGGCACCACGGAGGACTTCAAGCAAGCCACCAAAGCTTCCCCTCTTTACAGTCACACAGCGGAGAGGCTGTGCCATCTCGTACAGTCACACCTGAAGGCCTTGCTGGGCCTTGCCCTGGCATCCTCTGGTTCATCTGTTGGCGTGAGGAAGGTGGGTGATGGTAGTACAAGTGCAGCAGGTTCAGGGGTTGGGAGAGGTGGAGAGGAGTCCGTGGGAGTGCTTCGAGAGGCTTACAGATGTTCTTTGAAGCTGGACAAGTGTGCATTGGACTTGCATTCAATATCCGTGTTGGTTGCTCGTTTGCAATAACGAGTGTTTTATGTACACGCTGAAGTTTGAAGTCATTGTAATTGTTTGATATTCCAAGGACTTCTCTTACTCACACATTCAACAATTTTTTGTGCTGGCGCCAACACTTGTAAGAGCACAATGATGAATGTATAATACGTCTAGGGTTGCTCACAAAGAAGATCGGCGTTCTAGCGGTCGATCTCGAGGCACCAATTTCAAGGCCACCACCTTCAACATCGCGCACGTAACGAACTGTACACTCAGGCAAATGGACCAATTATGGGAATCTCTTCCCTCCGATGTTCCCAAGGGGGTTGGTTTTCAAACATTTGCAACTTCATTTTGCTGAACGAACCCTGCGAGCAGTTCCCGAGGTTAGCGTCAGTGAGAAGCCACACAAATCCCTCCAGTATCGTCCAAGGTTAGTAGACCTAATCAGTGAGGATAGTGTCATCGTCACGCTTTGTTCTGGCTTGAGATTGAGAATCCGATGTAAGTTCCGAAGTTCCATCTTAAGACGCGCTCCACCGTCAGTCTTTCGTAGGTTCTAATCTTGTGCAGTAGAAGCATTTCATTGTCGTTTTTTCCTGACGCCGCCGTTCAGTGACAGATCATCAGTCCAGAATCGACTTATCCGATCGGTTCCGTGCGATTTTCACGTCTCATTCAGACGTTTTCCTGTTTTTGACTGGGCTTAAACGCTGTTTGGACAGAATCGTGCCGGAATTGTTCGTCAAGTTCGAAATTATGGGAGACGACGATGATTGGGGCCCTGATCTCATGGCCGATGCCTTGGAGCTGGTGATGAAGGCAGAGGCGGAAAAGGCGGCGAAGGACGGCCAGCAAAAGCAGCAGCACCAGCAGAACGAGCAGTATCAACAGCACCAACAGCACCAGCAGCGCCAGCATCATCAACAGCAGAATTCGCATCTACCGAAGCAGAACCAGCAGCATCAGCAGCATCAACAGCAGCAGCAGCAGCAGCAGCAGCAGCAGCAGCAGCAGCAGCAGCAGCAGAAGCAACAGGATCAGCGTGTACAGCAGCAGCAATGGAATTCACTACAACAGCCGCACCAGGCGCAGCCATATCAGCAGCATCATCACCAGCAACGTCATTTTCACCAACAGCAGCACAACCAGCAACACCCACCACCAATGCAACAACACGCTCCTATTATTGAAAATCGCAATCAAGAATTTATGATTCATCCTCCCCATCAGAATGGCACTGCGTGGCCCAATAACGAGACACATCAGAAGATCGACCAAGTCCCTGCTTCTTCCCACGGCCTATCCGCTCCACACTCCCTCCACGCCCAACAACCGAGCATGTCCTCCGGAGCTGCACCTTCCAGGCCTGGGTCACTGGTTCGGACCAATCCTTCAGCCCCTCCTCCAGCTGTCTACGGGCGAGCGAAGGGAGACCGCAGGTTCGGTGCCCTCTTTCCAGCACCAGGCTTCGCAGCATTTCCCGTTGCCCCTCCTCCACCCACCATCCCATCCGCTCCTCCTGTCCCCCCAACGCCTCCTCCTCCCCTTCCCGCCTCTGCCTTCCCTCCCCCTGCTGCTCCTGCTTCTGCCGCTGCTCCTGCCGCTGCTCCTGCCACTGCTCCTGCGGCTGGCCTTACTAATTCCGTTGGCTTACAAAGGAGGAGTATGCACGAGCCTGGGAGCAGCCACGTCGGATGGGACCCAGCGAATAGCAAGGCGCCAGCTGTCAAGCGCCAGAAGCAGTCCTTGAATGAACAGTTTCAGGGCATGGATGAACAGTACCAAGGAATGCATGAACAGTACCAAGCCATGGATGAACAGTGCCAAGCCGTCGGTGAAGAGCACAAAGCAGGAGATGACCGGAAAGAACTTCGCCTTGAGGAGGAAGTGGCTGGAACTCTGAGGGAGAGGCTGAGGGAGAAGGAAGCAGCGATGGAGGGTCTGCTGGCGAAACTGCAAGAGGTAAGAACAGTTTCTCAGTTTTCCTGACAGAATTATTTCTTTCTTGCTTTTGGATTATCTGGATCATGCCTTTTTTTTCTACCCTCTGCTTGCAGTCTGATTGTTTAATTTCTGCTTTCTATTTGCCGTTCGTCTTGGACAGGCAGAGAAACAGCTGAGGTGCCTTCGCCAGGGAGATTCGCATATGGCGGCGGATGCTCCAGGCCAAGACAAGGCTCAGGTTTGTTGTCATTGCTGTTGGGTTCGGGATTAAGCTCGCTGAGTTGGGTTCCTTCACCAAAATTTTTAGAGTGGACTGGGAAGTCGCTTCTTGACAAGGCACAGGTTCGTTGTTGTTGGATTTGAGATTGGGCTCGCTAGGTCAGTTTCTTTACCAGAAATCACTTGCTTTCCATCTCTCAGCCCGCAGTGTCATGCTTGTCCTCCTGCCTGTGGTTCTTTCCCTTTTCACCAACCATGCATCTTCACGTTTTGCTTCGTTACTAACCGTCCTTCTTGTCATTGCGCCCCTGTCTTCCATACATGTGTCTTGTCATCATTTCATGTGTCTACATGTTCCCTTCTATGCCATTTCCATCTAGATGGATAGCAAAGACCTTGAGATAGAGCGTCTCACAGCCGAACTCCTGTTCAAAGTAAGATGCTAAACTCTCCTCACACTTTTCTGTGCCCTTGTTATCCCCTCAAGTACGATACTTAGCTCTCTCTGCGTCCACAAGAGGTAGATAAGTTCAGTCACTTTCATCGTCACTTCCTTCCTTGATAATTCTAGTCCTCCCCTTTGTTGTCAAAGGGAAGTCGAAATAGAAAATTTCTTCTCTTCCTTCTCTGTTCCTTTCCAAGCTTTTTGTAGAACTCGCATATTTCTAGTCCATCCTTTCCTTCTGTTCGTTTGCCTGATGCATGGATGCACGGGCATGCGGGAATTTGGATCTGAGAAAACGTGCAGGAAGAGGAGATGGAGCAGACTCGCAAGCAGCGAGAGGAGGAGGAGCGAAGGCGCCAGGCAGCAGAGGCAGAAGCGAGGGAGTTGAAAGAGAAAATGGCCAAGGCTGGGACAGAGAGGTGAGACTGTTTATGAGATCTCGGGAAACCACCTGCAACAAGAGAGGTGAGAGTGTTTTGTTTTGCAAGCAGTGAAAGGAGGAGGGAGCGGAGGAGGCAGGCAGCAGGGAGTTGCACTTTTGAGTCGACTCAAAAGTCAACGCAGTGAAAGGAGGAGGGAGCGGAGGAGGCAGGCAACAGGGAGTTGCTGGAAAAGATGGCCAAGTTTGGGACAGACAGGTGAGACTGGGAAGGGATGAGACGTTTAAACGGTGAAAGGTGACGCGAGGGGCTAGTGTGGAGGAGATATCCCTGTGCACTACAGCTGGCTGGGTTGGGTTATGATCTAAGTTGGAAAAAACACGTTTTGCGTTTTGTACGATTTTGTATATACGCTAGAGTATATACGCAAAACGCAGGCCATGCGGGGTCTGGTATGCACAAGAATACGCTTGCCCGGGCAGGAAAAAAGTTTTTCCCGGGCAGCTTTTTGGGGTAAGAGGTGGGGATGGGGGGGTGTTGTAACCCCCATCCCCTTTTTATTAATATGACAGTTACAGGAAAAAAAAAACCCTTAAAACTAATCTGCCACTTCTACTTCCCCCACCTTAATCATGCTACTACCACCCCTCCCTCCCCCTACTCCACACAGGTACACCCTTAATCCCCTGCCCCCCACACATGCATGGTGCCTTCAATCCACTAGTACTCATTGGCCATCACATCATCCTCCCCCTCCTCAGGTTCCTCCACCACCTCCTCGATGTTGTAGCCAGCCGGAGTGGGGGCCTCCTCGATGTTTCCCTTCACCACCCCTTGGCCCTCAGGAAGCTTCAGATTGAAATTTTTTTTTTTCGGTCTGCCCAAAATTCAACTCGGCGAATTTTCAAACTATACGCAACGTACGAATTCGACAAGAGTATAAACGCAAAACGCAAAATGAAAGTAGCGTATATTCTAACTTAGGTTATGATAGCACAAGAAGAAGATTGTAAGGAGAGCTGTTGTGTGGAGGAGATGGGTTTTCTTGATTGACCTGTCGCTTCCTGTTGCAGCTTCCGTTTCTGTTTTCCCTTTTTTTGTTTGTTTAGCTAAATATCGTTCGCCTGTTTTGATTCGTTCCATCTCCCCACTTTTCCCTGTTTCCAGGAGAGAGCCACGTGTGCAGGAGGATCGCGCTAAGATTTTGGAGCAGCCAAATGGGAAGGACGTGAAAGGCATGGTGGGACAAGCAGGCAATATGGAAGTGCCACGCCATCCTGCTGCTTCTGCCGCTGCTGCGTCTGGAGTTGCTGCTGCTGTTGGTAGCGGTGGTGGTGGTAGTGGAGTTGCTGTTGCTGGTAGTGGTGGCGGTGCTGGTATTGTGACTGGTGCTTCTAATGCAGCTCCTCGTGCTGATTCTGGCGCTGCAACTGGTGTCACTGCCGCTTGTCCTGCTGCTGATGCTGCTACTGGTGCTGCTGCTGGTGTTGTGGGTGGTGCTGCTGGTGGGGCCTCTGGAGCCGTTGCTGCTTCAGCGTCAGACCGTGACATGGCTTGTTTGCAGAGTGCCCTGCAGAGAGTGTGGAACGGCCGAATGCCCTCCCCATCTCCTACCTCGTACTTAGCTAAGTGGGACATATCACTGCCTGTTGGGAGTACCATGAGGGTTGGCAAGTATGGTACAGCGAGTATGGGAGGGGGATCAGAGCAGAGGCAGGAGGAGCAGAGGCAGGTGAAGAAGAAACAAGAGAGGAGGGAGGTTGGGGGGAAGCAAGCAAGTGGAATGCAACAAGAGATTGATGACGTGGCAGCGATGGAAGTTGACGGGGATGAGGCAGGTGCTGACTCAGCGCATGGCCACAGTGACTCAGCACGCAGATGCAATGAGTCAAGGCCCTTAATGCGTGACTCAGCAGAGCACAGCCGGTTCGTGGCATCACAGCTGATAGCCCACTGCGCTCGCGACTTTCTATCCCTCATTGCGACTCCCTCTGCCACTCACTTCCCTCCCGCCCTGGCTGCGATGCCCTCGTCCACTCACTTCAGCCCCGCCCTTGTTCCAAGGCCCACTGCTGCAGACACACAGGCAGTGCGCAGACACACTGCCACAGACCCACTACAGGTGCTGCACTGTCCCACAGCCGCACGTGCAAGGGAGCATAGTCCTGGCACGTCACATCTCCTTTCCACTGACGCTGCAAGGGGATCAGCAGCTGCGTTGGGACGGAGAGGTGGAGAGGAGTTGCGGAGAGGTGGAGAGGAGTTGCGGAGAGGTGGAGAGGAGTTGCGGAGAGGGGGAGTGGGTGGCGATGTGGGGTGCGCGGGCGTGCAGAGGCAACTGCAAGACGGCTTCTCGAATGTGAGTGGTGACAATGAGCAGATGTGCATTTGTCGCTTTGGCAGCATCTTGGGTACCTGCGCACTGGGAGTGCGGTGTTGCATTGGAATCCACCATGACTAGAAGGCGAGGGACTGAAGAAGAAGAACCACAAGAAAATAAACATCACATTCTTCCTTTTCCCGTTCCTTTCCCCTCGTTTCACCCAAAATCACCAGCTCCTGATCGGCATTGACTCGCCCCACTGCTTCTTGGCCGCTCTGCTGGACTCTGCCTGCTCACAAGCTCCTGTACCTCTGGTAAGGCCTGGTGCACTTAAAACAAATCATTTGGCACAGACTCGCCCCACCGTTTCTTCGCTACACTGCTGGATTTCGCCTGCTCACAAGCACCTCTACCCCAGGTAACGCCTTTACCTCAGGTAACGTCAGTATCCCTCTCCAGCCATCTCACCTGCAAGCATGGCAAGCCCTCTCTATTCCGGCTTGAATGGATCACACCTGCTGCTCTCTTCTCTTCTACCCTCTTCTGCCTTTGAGTTGACTTAGAATCGCCTTTGTTTGCATGCCAATTCTTGTTCTTCCCCCTCCCCTCCCCACCCCCTTCCCTCTCCAGCCCTTGCGCCTGCAGGCGTGGCAAGCTCTCTCTGTTCTACTTCGAGTGGACCACACCAGTCGCTCCCTTCTGCTCTCTGCTGCCTCCTCTGCTGCTGAAACGTCTGCGACTGCTGCTGCTGGCGCTACTGCTGCTGCAGCTGTTGCTCCGGATGCTGGTGTTGCTACTGGTGATGCCACAGCTGCTGAAACTGATGCTGATGCCACAGCTGCTGATGCTGCTCCTCCGGAGGAAACAGGAGGCTTAAGAAGGAGCACCAGGAGGAGAAGAAGAGGAGGGAAGGGAGGAAACCCGTTTGAAGACACTGAAATGGCCGATGCTGATGGGGATGGTCATGGTAATGGTGATGGTGATGCTGACGATGGTGGTGGTGGTGACAATGACAGGAAGCGGGTAGGAGAAGGAGCACAAAAGGGCAAAACAGACAAAGCTGCACAAGTGCGGATCCCGGTGCGTCAAGGGGTCCTGTCTGAAAGGAGACCGCCGGTGCATGGTGAGGGTGGTGAGGATGGTGAGGGTGGTGAGGGGGAGGGATTTGAGGCGGACAAACGTGAGGAGCAGGGTTTGTGGGTGCGGGAGTGGAGGCTCGTTCTTGGTACTGCATTTCCTCCAAACGTAGCAGCTGACCCGTCTGGTCTAGACATGGAAACGTTGCGACTGAAACCACCAGCAGAAGCAGTGGCGGCAGCGCCAGCAGCAGCCGCAGCAGATGCAGGATCGACAGCAGCAGCAGTTGCGGCAGCTGGAAGCATCATAGCTTCAGCACTAGCAGCCATTCAGATTCTGGTTGCTTCCAGTGCCCCTCTCACAGACCGCCACGTGTCCTTCTCCCATTTGCTGCCACGGCTCCTGTCGTTGCTGGCAGCATGGAAAGCAGGCAGGGTGAAAGGTGATTATAACGAGAGAGTGAGAGTGGTAGGGGTGGTAGTGAAACTGATACTGCTGCTGCTCCTCCCGCTCCCTTCTCAACTCCTGGATAAGCACATCCTGTTACAGTCACCACCGCTGCAACGACCCCTCCCTCCCGTACACGCACCTCTTGCAGTCACAATTTCCCGGACACTGAGTGATAATACGCGCACAGCAGTGGTATCTGCTGCTGCTTTCGCTGAGCTTCTGTTAGATGTCCTGTGCTCCCTCTTACAGGCCACTGCCTCGCAACTCCACCGCACAATACAACTGTATAACACACGGAAAGCTTATAAAGGGGACAGTGGGAGTGGGGCAAGGGGGTTCAAGGCCGCGTGTGGGAAGGAGAGGAGGGCCGTGGGGGAAGGGTGCAGGAGTGCATGTGGCGTTATAGAAGTGCTGGGATTGCTGTGTGGCTGGGCTGCTGGGAAAGGCATTGATGAGGGGAGTGGTTTGAGTGGAGAGGAGGGGATGAGTGGAAGCAGAGGGAGTGAGTGTGGGAGGAAGGAAGGTGAGGAGATGGGAGGGTTGCAGATGGTGAAGCAAGAGGAACAGGGGTGGATGCTGGAGCAGGGGAATGGAATCAGGCAGGACACAGCAGGAAGGGTGCGAGCAGAACTAGGGGTAGCAGCAGGAGCCCAGGTGCAAGGGATGGATGTGGAGGGTGGGAGTGCCCTTGCTGCTGCTGATGCTGCCAATGCCCCAGCCGCTGCTGGTGCTACAGCCGCTGCCAACGCTACAGCCAATGCTACAGCCTCTGCTAATGCTGAAGCTGCAGGTGCTACCAACGCTGAGATGAGGAACGGGAGGGTCACCGGAGCGGTGGAGAGCGGTTGGGAGGTGATGGCCCTCGTTCTGCCTCGCCTCTTTGACGTTCTGGCGACTGAAATAGCGCGGGTGAGAGAGGCGGTTGAGGGAGTGGGAATGGATACAGCGTGGTTGGAAGGGGTAGGGGTGAACCCAGCCCACGTTCAGGTCGTTGGGGGCTTGGTTTGGTCACAGGCTCGGGTGCTTACAGGCTTGGTTCGGCTGCTTCGGGCGCTGCTGATGCAAGCTGCTTCACTCCCTCTCCCTGCGTCTCCTTGCTCCTCCCCGCAACGCCAAAGTTATGATGCTGCTAGTATAAATAAAGATGCTGACGGTGCTGTTGCTTCTGGTGATGGTGCTGCGGGTGCTGCTTCTGCTGCTGCTGCTGCTGCTACTGTTGCTGCATCTGTTTACGGGCAGCAGGCAGCACAGGCAGCTGGGGTAAAGAGCGACTCGAAGCATGGTGAGCAAAGGCTGAATGGAAACAAGGCGAGCTCTGGAGCGCGTATTGAGAATGGAGACAATGAGAATGCTTGTGCTGCACGGGAAACAAGTGTTGGGGTGCCTGAAAAGCAGGAATCAAGGCTAGCTGCACTGGGAGGAGCACAGGCTCTGCTGCTGCACTGCTGCCAGCAGTGCGTCCTACTCAGCATTGCGCTTGCTGAGCTGGCGGATAAGGCTGCTGATGTCGTCCGGCGGGATGCTGACGTGTCAGCAAGCGGGTTTGAGTCGCTGTCCGTTGCTGATGTGGCAGGACGTAGGTGTGATGATGATGATGATAATTACGAAAACGATGAGGAGGACAAAGAGGAGGATGCTCGTGGTGATGTTTCTAGATGGGAAGCTTCTTGGATGGAGTGTGTGGGAAGCAGCTTTGGCAGAGAAGCAGAAGGAGAAGTGGGCAGTATGCTATCAGGGGGAGGATGTGACAGTGTTCGAGGGGGGTGGGGTGGTGTTTGTGATGCCTTGGCAGCAGCAGCTGAGACGCTGCGAGGAATCGTGGAGTGAAGGAGATGGTTTTGGTTTGAGCAGACGGCCTATTGGTTTGGAAGCTCTAACAGAAGGCACTGGCGCTGATGTTATGGTCATTGGCATTTGTTTGTAGTCGCGGATGCTGTTTTTCAAGTGATGCTCTAACATTCATGGCTTGAAGCACCTACCTGACCATGGGTGTTAGAGTGTCACTTGACGCACAGGAAACTTGCATACTTTTGTGACGATTGCGACACAGCTAATCCTATCCTTTTTGTTGATCCCATTTGTCTAGATTAGTGTGCTAATTGCAAACGGGTTTGTTCATAGCGCAAGATTAGCGCAAGGTTTTCTCTGCTTCAACGGTCACTTCCAAATTCGACCTCCCTGGGTGGCTGGTCCGCTGCATACAGGTGCTGGGCTTGGCGCGCGTCTGGAGGTTCTTCGTGATGGCGTCCCAAGCCTATCTGCTATTCGACAACTACTATACACGCGACGGCCGCTCGACCACGACACCCGTTGGACCCACGCCCTCTCCTCCCCCTTGCCCACTCCTCTCCCCGACCTCTCCCACGACTTTCTTCGCGAACAGCCCAGCCTGCAACGCGATCTACTCTTCCGACTATATACTCGATCTCTCCCTTCAGGGTCCCGGTTTCTGTTCTCAACGGATAGGGGCCGATGCTCGCGCTGCCAGTCCCATGACATCGAGACTATTTCTCACATCTTCTTCACCTGTGGAGCGGCCCCCACTGTGACGGCTGCTCTAGGTTCCGTTGCTCGACGCCACTTGGGTTGCAGCCCCCCGACCGAACACATCTTCTTTCCACTTCCTTCTCGCTCTGGCCAGACGGCCCCGTGGAGTCTACTGGTCGGTGCTGCTGCCAAGGCCCTCTGGAACGCCCGCTGTGCTCAGAGATCTAACAACGTTGTTACCTCCCGTTTTGAGATCCTGCAACTCATCCTCGCGCAGTTTCTCTTAGCCTTCAAAATCTTCCTCTGGAGACGCTCTAAACAATCTGCCAAGAAACAACAGAAAACAGCGTCTCGCATTCAGGCGGCTGGCCGGCTACGTTTCATCTCCTTTGCTGCTGATGGTTCCCCCACAATTCATCCGGACCTACGCACCTCTTGGCTGCTTGGAAACCCTTTTCGTCCGCCCTAACTTGTTACCCGGTTCGTCACAGAATTCTTTCCAGCAAAGCTGGTGGCTGTCCGCTTGGATAGGAGAATAACGTGTTCAATCACGTACGCCTATAGGTCGTTGGCTTGCTTAGCTGTATTCTCAGTAATTCTGTGTTTTGTCTGTAACTGATTACGATCTTAATATATTCCTATTCCTATTCCAAATTCGACCTCCCAATCATTTCCAGCAAACACCACCCTACCATGATTCTCGTCGTTATCGTCGTCTCGCTCCTCTTGCTCCGCGCATCGCAGCCGCCCGTTATGGCGCAGATTCCCAGCATGCCAGGCGGGCAGATCGGCGGCGAGGCGGGTATCGAGCGCGTCATGTCTCTTTTCCGCGTGAGTTCCGACTCGCTCGCTCACTCCCGTCTGTGAGTTCCGCATTCCGCCTCAAAACTAGTTCCGGCTCGCTCACGTCTGCGCGCAGCGTGCCGCTGGGGGCGGGATGCATGCAAAGAGCGTAGCTTGGTTGTCGCGGCTGCGAGTTTGAGGCGCCTCAACACTAGTTCCGGCTTGCTCGCTCCCGTCTGCACTGCACATAGCGTGCTGATGGCGTGATGCATGCGAAGAGCTTAGCTTGCGTGTCGCGGCTGCGATTTGATTCGCCAAGGCACAGTTCATTTCCCCTCTCCCTCTTCCGCTCCCGCTCCTTGCTCTGCGCTCCGCGCTCCGCGCTACTCCGTCCTCGCGTCACGTTCTCTCTTCCCCTCAACTCATCTCCTCGCACCCCGTCAGATACGGATCTGTGAGATATGGGAGGAGGCGTCAGACGGTTTCAATCCGTCACGTTCTCTCTTCCCCTCAACTCATCTCCTCGCACCCCATCTTAATCCGTCAGATATGGGAGGAGGCGTACGGATTGAAACCCGACGTCCACTTGCCGCTCTTGAGACGTCTCAAGTCTTCCTCTTAACTCATCGCCTCACACCCTTCGTCTTGATCCCTCAGATATGGGAGGAGGCGTACGGATTGAAACCCGACGTCCACTTGCCGCCCGCAAAAATCACCTTGCCGGCCATTGTGCCTCGCGCTCCGCACCTGGAGGACTGCGCGGCGCTGACAGCGGCGAGGAGGGAGTCGGAGCGATGCGGAGGGGACGGGCAGCCCCCTCTGTGGTCTGCGCGGCGTGTTGAGAACTGCTCCTCCGATTGCACCCCGCAACCACCATGGGTAGGTACTTTATGGCAGCCTCCTCTCTTCCCCTCCTCGCGTCTCGCTCTCTCGCTTCCCCTCCGCACATGGAGGACTGCTCGGCGCTGACAGCGGCGAGGAAGGAGTCGGAGAGACGCGGAGGGGACGGGCAGCCTCCTGTATGGGCGCGGCCTGTGAATAACTGCTCGGATCGCACCCCGCAACCACCATGGGTACGATTCTCTGAGGCGCCTCAAACAACGGGCAGCCTCCTCCTCTCTTCCCGTCCTTGCGGCCTCCTCTGTGGGCGCGGCGTGTTGACAACTGCTTTGAGTGCAACCCGCAACAACCTGACCTGATGCGTGGGTCCGATGCGGGCAACCTGCCTCTGAACTGCACCTCCTCCCGGTCTCCCCCCCCCCCCACGGCTCTCCCCACGGCTCTCCCCACGGCTCCCCCCACGGCTCCCCCCACGGCTCCCCCCACGTTCCCCCGCGCCTGCCTTCCCCACAGCCAGGTGCGCGGGTCCAACGTGGACAAGTTTTGAGGCGCCTCAAAACTACGCGCCTGCCTTCCCCACAACAACCAGGTGCGCGGGTCCAACGTGGGCAATCTACCGCTGCTGACGCGCGTGGCGCAGAGGGGCCTGTGGGAGCACCAGCTGTTCCCCGCCGCCTCCTCCTCCCCACTCTCTAACGGGTGTCTCTCTCCACGTTCCCTCGCGCCTGTCTTCCCCCGACCCTGTCCCAGGTGCGCGGGTCCGACAGTGACAATCTACCGCTGACGCGCGTGGCGCAGCGGGATCTGTGGGAGCACCAGCTGTTCCACGGCAGCTGCGACGGCAAGCGCCTGTTGGTTGTGCCGTGGCCCAACAAGACCCACCACGGCGTGGGGTCGCAGGTGGGACTGGGGGAGGTCGCTCGCAGCTTCCGGGAGAGGGAGAGCCGTGGTAGGTGGGTAGGCAGGTGGGTGGGAGAGGGAGAGGGCATGTTTTGAGACGTCTCAATAGTCGCAATCTGTGGGAGCGAGCACCAGCTGTTCCACGGCAGCTGCGACGGCAGGCGCCTGCTCGTCGTGCCGTGGCCCAACAAGACCCACCACGGCGTGGGGTCGCAGGTGGGGAGGGCGTGGTAGGTGGGAGGTGGGAGGTGGGAGGTGGGAGGTTATGGGACGTCTCAACCCAAAAGTGGCCCAACAAGACCCACCACGACGTGCGCTCACAGGTGGGGAGGGCGTGGTCGATGGGTAGGCAGGTGCCAGGGCGTGCCTTACGACTTTTGAGACGTCTCAAAGGTCGATGGGTAGGCAGGTGCCAGGGCGTGCCTTACGGGAGGGTCCGTGAGAGTCGCAAAGAAGAGTGAGTTTGGCTGTTAGGAGGGTATTGAGGGGCTTGCAGACGAGAGTTGGGGTGCTCCGAGGTTGGAGTGGCTACCTGGTCAGTTGCTCCCTGGTCAGTTGCTCCCTGGTCAGTTGCTCCCTGGTCAGAGTTCCTCCCTCCCTCTCTCCCGTTCACTCTCCAGATACACGTGATGAGCACATTTCTCAGCCTCGCCTTGATTCACAACCGCACACTCGTGCCCGCGCCTGGCTCGTACGACCGTGCCTACACCGAGACATGCAACTGTGAGTGCTGCACCCAGCTTATACCAACCCCGCCTTTGTGTGCACCTGTGACCTTCGCTTCCCTTTCCCACACCCCCTCCCCATTTCCCACCTACCTACCATCCCCTTGCTCCCCCCCTCCCCCTCCCCCTCCTCTCCTTTCCCAGCCACAGGCACGGGGGGGGCGTGGGGTTGCTACTTCTTCCCCCTAGTGAATCCCGAGTGTGAGCGCATGGTATCCGATATGATCGCTAGCAACACCATGCCCCCTATGCTCCCCACTCCCTTCCCCTCTCCCTCCTCTTTCCTCTCCTTCACCCCAGCCACAGGCACGGGCGGGGCATGGGGTTGCTACTTCTTCCCCATAGTGAATCCCGACTGTGAGCGAGTAGTCTCCGATATGATCGCCAACAGCACCATGCCCCCTCTCTCCTCTGACAAGACGGGGCACAATCGCCTCGCTGCCTCGGGAGACCCGGTGGTGTATCTCAACTCCAGCTGCGACAGCCAGATGAAGTTTGAGGCCCGTGCTGCCACGTGCGTGAGGCCTAAGGGTAGGGGAAGGGGGGAAGGGGAAGGGGGAAAGGGGAAGGGGGAAAGGGGAAGGGGGGAAGGGGAAGGGGGGAAGGGGAAGGGGGGAAGGGGAAGGGGGGAAAAGCTTTTGAGGTGCCTCGGGCGACCCTGTGGTTCATCTCAACTCCAGCTGCGACAGCCAAATGAAGTTTGAGGCCCGTGCTGCCACGTGTGTGAGTTGTAGGGGAAGGGGGAGCGGGCAGGGGAAGGGAGGCAGGGGAAGTTATTGAGTCGACTCAGAAGTCACAATCGCCCCGCTGCTTCGGCCGAACCTGTGGTTCATCTCAACTCCAGCTGCGACAGCCAGATGGCCTTTGAGGCGCGTGCTGCCAAGTGAATGTGAAGGGGGAGGGGAAAGGGGGGAAGGGGGAGGGGGGAAGGGTTTTTGAGGTGCCTCGGCCGACCCTGTGGCGTATCTCAACTACGGCTGCGACAGCCAGATGGCCTTAGAGGCCCGTTCTGCCAAGTGAGGTTAAGGGAAAGAGGGGATGGAAGGGGAGTGGGGATGACTTTTGAGTCGACTCAAAAGTCACTTTAGAGGCCCGTTCTGCCGAGTGAGGTTTAGGGAAAGAGGGGATGGAAGGGGAGTGGGGATGGGGAAAGGGAAATGGGAGGGGAAGGAGAGGGGGAGGGGAAGGGGGGGGGGGGGGGGGGGGAGAAGGGTTTTTAAGTCGACTCAACTCCCCTCCTCCCCCGCCCCTCACCCTCGCCCCTCACCTCCCCAGGCTAAGGGGCGATGCATACTTGAGGGTCCCGATTGTGGTGGAGTATATGGGGGAGGAGCCACATGTTGAGATCTTTGAGTCGACTCAACTCCCCTTCTCCCCCGCCCCCCACCCCCACCCCTCACCTCCCCAGGCTAGGTCTGCTTTTGAGTCGACTCAAAAGCGCCCCCCACCTCCCCAGGCTAGGGTGGGTGAGGGGCGGTGGGCGATGCATTGCATACTTGAGGCTGAGGTCTCCGAGTGTGGTGGAGTATCCACCTGTTGAGAGACTTTGAGACGTCTCAAAAGTCCCTCCGCCCCTACTTTCCGCCCCCACTTTCTGTGCCCCACTCCCACCCACGCCCCCCACTTCCCCAGGCGATGGGGCGATGCGTATGCGAGGGCCTCGAATGTGGCGGATTATATGGGGGAGGAGCCACCTGTTGAGATCTTTGAGTCGACTCAAAAGCCCCTCCCCCGCCCCCCCCCACCCCTGCCTTCCACTTCCCCAGGCTATGGGGCGATGCGTATGCGAGGGCCTCGAATGTGGTGGAGTATATGGGGGAGCAACCACCTGTTGACACAAAACACCCGATGGTGCGTGCAGTGCAGTTGCTTGCTCGTGGGTGTGGTTGTACCAATGAATCCGCATGGTACACGCTTACTTTTGAGTCGACTCACTGGTCACCCAAATGTGGTGGAGTATATGGGGGAGCAACCACCTGTTGACACAAAACACCCGATGGTGCGTGCAGTGCAGTTGCTTGCTCGTGGGTGTGGTTGTACCAATGAATCCGCATGTTACACGATTACTTTTGAGTCGACTCACTGGTCACCCAAATGTGGTGGAGTATATGGGGGAGCAACCACCTGTTGACACAAAAACACCCGATGGTGCGTGCGCCTACGGCCTCTATGCCGCGTCTCACCTCTCCCACTCTCCCTCCCCTCCTCACCCACATTCCCCCTACCTCTCACCTCTTTACGGCAGGGAGAGCCACTTTTTCGACGGCCTTCACACCGCGTCTTACCCCTCCCCTACTCGCCCATATTCCCCCTACCCCTCCCCTCCTTGCCTACCAGGTGCACTGGTGGCGGTCGACTGGTCTGGTTTGCAGCTCGCTGAGAATATGTCACAAGACCGCCTACCCCTCCCCTCCTTGCCTGCCAGGTGCACTGGTGGCGATCGCAGTCAACTCGCTTCATGCTGCGCTGGCCCTCGCTGCACACATGCCACGAAACCAACAAGCAGCGCCACACCGCGTACGGCCTCCTCACCGCATCCCACCTCTCGCGCTACACCGAAACCCAGTCCGAGATCCTCCGGGCCGTCGCAGGCAACAGCCCAATCATCGCGGGTAACGCGTCCGAAACACCCGAATCCAAGAAACTCGCCGAGATTTCCGCCGGCCCTCCAGGACCCATCGAGACCCAAGTGTGGCCTGTCCGGGGGTTTGCGGGGTGTGATGAAACGTGCATGGGTGCAGCGGATGCCAAGGCGATAAGGGAGACGTACGCAGCGGTGGGAGGGGAGCCGTTTGTGATGCGGCCGATCGTGAGCGTGCACGTGCGGCAGAGCGACAAGGGGACAGAGATGCGTCTGTCGCCGCTCGCCACGCACATGTTCTTTGCGCACCGGCTGCGGCGCTACGTGCCGGACCTGCGATATGTGTGGCTCAACACAGAAATGGAGGTGGGTTTTTGAGTCAACTCAAAATGGAGGTGGGTTTTTGAGTCAACTCAAAATGGAGGTGGGTTTTTGAGTCAACTCAAAATGGAGGTGGGTTTTTGAGTCAACTCAAAATGGAGGTGGGTTTTTGAGTCAACTCAAAATGGAGGTGGGTTTTTGAGTCAACTCAAAATGGAGGTGGGTTTTTGAGTCAACTCAAAATGGAGGTGGGTTTGTGCACGTGCGGCGGAGCGGCAAGGGCACAGAGATGCGCCTGTCGCCGTTCGAAGGCCTCACGGCCGAAACCGACCCTCACGGCAAGACTGCCTTTGCACGTGTATCAGAGCGACAAGGGGACAGAGATGCGTCTGTCGCCGCTCGCCACACACATGTTCTTTGTGCACCGGCTGCGGCGTCACGTGCCGGACCTGCGATACGTATGGCTCAACACAGAAATGGAGGTGCGTGGGGCTTAATACAATACAGAGACGGAGGTGCGTGTGAGTGTGTACGTGCGGCAGAGTGACAAGGGGACAGAGATGCGTCTGTCGCCGCTCGCCACACACATGTTCTTTGTGCACCGGCTGCGGCGTCATGTGCCGGACCTGCGATATGTATGGCTCAACACAGAAATGGAGGTGCGTGGGACGACGAATGCTTGCTTGCCGACGCCTTATATTCCACCTTTTGCTTGGCAATGGCTTTGGTTGTCTTTCCTAACTCACCACAATCCACCGCTTTTCCTGCCTGTCCTCCAACGCAATCCTTCCTTCCTTCCTTCTCTCCCGCTGCCCTCCTTACAGTGCGTGGCAAAAGAATCAGCCTCGTATATCGACTGGAGGTTCCTCTACTCCTCCAACGCTCGTCAGCCCGTGATTCCAGGCCAAGACATGCTTTGAGAATCATGGTTCAAAACTCAAAGCTTCCTTCCTTACTTCTCTCCCACTCCCCTACAGTCTGTGATAAAAGAATCAGCCTTGTACGTCGACTGGAAATTCCTCTACTCCTCCAACTCGCGCCAGCCGATGGACTCCACGTCGAGCCATGAGTACAACACGTCTCAAAGCTCAAACCTTCCTTCCTTCCGTCCTTCCTTCTCTCCCACCCGCCCTACAGTCTGTGATAAAAGAATCAGCTCTGTACGTCGACTGGAAATTCCTCCACTCCTCCAACTCGCGCCAGCTGGTGAACTCAAGGTCGAGTCATGCTTTGAGAATCATGGCTCAAAACTCAAACCTTCCTTCCTTACTTCTCTCGCACTCCCCCTACAGTCCATGTTAAAAGAATCAGCCTTGTACGTCGACTGGAAATTCCTCTACTCCAACTCGCGCCAGCCGATGGACTCCACGTCGAGCCATGAGTACAACACGTCTCAAAGCTCAAACCTTCCTTCCTTCCGTCCTTCCTTCTCTCCCACCCGCCTTACAGTCTGTGGTAAAGGAATCAGCCTTGTACGTCGACTGGAAATTCCTCCACTCCTCCAACTCGCGCCAGCTGGTGAACTCAAGGTCGAGTCATGCTTTGAGAATCATGGCTCAAAACTCAAACCTTCCTTCCTTACTTCTCTCGCACTCCCCCTACAGTCCATGTTAAAAGAATCAGCCTTGTACGTCGACTGGAAATTCCTCTACTCCAACTCGCGCCAGCCGATGGACTCCACGTCGAGCCATGAGTACAACACGTCTCAAAGCTCAAACCTTCCTTCCTTCCGTCCTTCCTTCTCTCCCACCCGCTTTACAGTCTGTGGTAAAGGAATCAGCCTTGTACGTCGACTGGAAATTCCTCCACTCCTCCAACTCGCGCCAGCTGGTGAACTCAAGGTCGAGTCATGCTTTGAGAATCATGGCTCAAAACTCAAACCTTCCTTCCTTACTTCTCTCGCACTCCCCCTACAGTCCATGTTAAAAGAATCAGCCTTGTACGTCGACTGGAAATTCCTCTACTCCAACTCGCGCCAGCCGATGGACTCCACGTCGAGCCATGAGTACAACACGTCTCAAAGCTCAAACCTTCCTTCCTTCCGTCCTTCCTTCTCTCCCACCCGCCTTACAGTCTGTGGTAAAGGAATCAGCCTTGTACGTCGACTGGAAGTTCCTCTACTCCTCCAACTCGCGCCAGCCCGTGGGTTCCAGGTCGGGCCGCGAGTACGAGCTCACGCAGTCGGTCGCAGCGAGTTTCGCGAGTGCGATCATCGCGTCGCAGTGCGACTACTTTGTGGGCGCGCTGGGGTCCAACTGGAGTCGATTAATTAACGAGCTGCGCTCGACAAATGGGAGATTGCTCAGCGGATTTTATACTGTCAACACGGGAGACTGGTAGCCTTTGAGGCGCTGAATGTCGGAGCTGCACACCCACCCACTAGTGGCACAATATGGGAGACTAGTAGCCGCACTCTCTTCTACTGTTGCAGCTGCACACCCACTTGTGGCAACCATGTTTTAGTCGACTCAAAAATAGATGAATGGGGGGCTGCTCAACGGCTTCTATACAGCCAACGTGGGGGACTGGTAGCCGCACTCTCTTCTACTGTGTTGCAGCTGCACACCTGCTTGTGGCAACCATTCGGGAGGGGAGGTGGGCCCGAGTGTGCGTAGCTAGGAAAAGGTAATTCAGGCCGTGTGACCATGCATTTTTCGCTCCATTCCTGTCCACATTCGTCTGTTCCTTGCTTACTCCCTTTCTCTGCCCCTCCCATCATCCCATCCACTGTACCCCTGCTCCTCCTGTCATCTGTTCATCCCTTCCTTACTGCGTCCCTTTCTCTGCACTTACATTGCTCTGTCTTTGTGCTACAGTCACACCTTGGTGGCCCATTCTGAATCACCCTAAGGGTGTGTTCCTACGGCCCCCTATCAGGCCGCCTCCTATCAAGCTCGGAAAAATTCACACTGAAATTCGCGCGAACCCTAAACCCTTCGCGCATTTTACCAGGCAAGTCTGATGAGAGGTCCCTGATAAGGGGCCGTAGGAACACGCCCTAAGAAATCAGCTGGGTGAATGACAACCTACCGTATAATCACACCTCAGTTGCCCATCGTTAAGTCGACTTAAGGATCAGTTGTTTGAATGACAACAACCTACAATTACACCTTGGTGATCCAGATCAGGCGGTAGGGTTGTGTCACCCTGATTGAGACAACGCTCTTGGGGGACAATAGCCGTTCCCAGGCACATCTGGCGTTGGTAGTCTATAGACGTGCATGCTCTCCTGAAACCTGATGCTAGCAAATGGGACTATCCCTCTGGTGCAGTGCTTGTCATACTGGTCATCGTTACAGTAGCACACCCTACCGTATTACAGTCACACCTTCAACACGAGCCCCAAGGGGCAATGGTCACTGCCAGGCACATCTGGCACGGTGTAGGAGTCGTGCACTCTTGATGCTTATCTGTAAGCATGTCACGGTATGTCACACCTGTACTGGCAACAACAATATCTACAGTCACATCTTCAGCACGAGTCCGAAGTGGCAGTAGCCGTTCCCAGGCATATCTGGCATGGTGTAGGAGTCGTGCACTCTTGATGCTTATCTGTTAGCGTCTCCTGTTATGTCACACCTATGTGCCACATAACGTTGTGTCATGCCTGCCAAGGTACCGTAACACTCCCTACAGTCACATCTTCAGCACTAGTCCCAGCGGGCAATGGTCACTGCCGGGCACATCTGGCATGGTGTAGGAGTCATGCACTCTTGATGCAAGTGACTGGGACACAAGAAAGTAATCCAGTCGCCATCCTGTCAAAAGGTGGAGAAGTAAGAAGGTTCAAAGAGAGTGGGTTGGAAAGGAAAGGAAAGCGAAGGCTAGACATGAGATTTTGCTGGCCATGGTGTATGGGTCGTGCACTCGTGACGCTAGTGACCGAGACACAAGGAAGGAATCCAAACGCCATCCTGTTGAAAGGCAAGGGGATAGGGAAATGAATGAGTAATTCAAGCTCAAGAAACGGAAACATAGTATTTGCTCAGTATGGTGTATGCATTGTGTGAGCGTGAGTGTGTCTGTGCAGGCTTCGGTGATTTTAAGAGTTGCTCACCGAAGAGCTTGTTCATAGAGTGTGTCTCTTAAGTGCATAAGAGCTTCGCACCTCTATTCGCTGGTCTGGCCTTGGACCGATACCCCCAGTAGGTATAGGCCACAGCATTGGGATGCTGCTGCCGAAACGTATCTACCAACCCTGCTGCTTCCCCTCGCCCCTCCTCTTCCCCACCCTCGCCCTTCCCCATCCCTCCCCCGTTCTCCCCTCCGTTCCGACTCTCCCCGGCACTTCCCCCCTTCCCCTCCTCTCCCCCCTCTCCCCCGTCCCAGGGCACGCCCAGCAGGTTAGCTGCAAACGACGCCCGCTCCTCATCAGTAAAGCCCGAGCTCCTTCGGTTGCCCTCGGGGTGGAAAATGTCGATCTCGCCGAACGCACAGTTGAGGTCTCCGGTTACAACCACTGGCTTCTGCTTCTCCAGTTCCTGCGGTGGTGGGATGCAGAATGAGGGGCGACAACTGAGCAGGTTCACGGCAAACGACGCCCGCTCCTCATCCACAAACCCTGAGCTTCACCGGTTGCCCTCGGGGTGGAAAATGTCGATCTCCCCAAACGCACAGTTGAGATCACCGGTTACAATCACTGGCCTCTGCTTCTCCAGCTCCTGGAGTCAACAGAGTCAACACAGAGGGAGCAAGAGAGAGGAGTGAGCGGTCGAGAAAGCAGAGAGAGAGCGAGCTGGTGGAATTTGTCAATTTCCCCGAACGCACAGTTGAGGTCACCAGTTACAACCACCGGCTTCTGCTTCTCCAGTTCCTACAATAGAGAAGTAGGGAGAGTGCAGTTCAAATAATCGTTAACAATCACACAGTCGAGGTCACCTGTTACAACCACTGGCTTCTGCTTCTCCAGCTCCTGGAAAGGAGGAGCTCAATAGAGAAGTAGAGAGAGTGCAGTTCAAATAATCGTTTACAATCACAGTTCACCATACACTGCACTGTATGATGTTTTGCAAAACAAACACAGGAGCAACAGGAAGGGAGGGAGCGAGCGGAAAGAAACACCAACACATCAGCGGAAGGAAACACCAACAAATTACCTTGACGTAGTTGCCGAATGCGACGTCCCATTCCTTGGTGCGATAGTCCTGAAGACACAAGGCAGCGCGGGAGAGACACGCATTGAGGTGACTTTTTAGTTTTGACTCAACAGAATCACGGTGCAGTAAGAGGGACGGGAAAGCCAAGAGAAAGTGAGATGCGCACGGGGAATGGCACTGAGGGACAGCAATGGCACGAGGACCGAGCGTTGAAAGCCTGACTAGCTTTTCAGAAGAATTGGGTGTGTAGCAGCAGACGAGGAAGAAAGGGGGCAAATTAACTAGCTTGACTTGCATTGAATGACGTTGACTTGCGTTGACTACCCACCCACCAGGCGGACTAGCTTTTCAGAAGAATTGGGTGTGTAGCAGCACACGAGGAAGAAAGGCACGAATTCAACTGTCACCACGCGCCCCTCCTTGTCGTGCTCTGGCTTGCTGATGCCGTAGCTCACTGAGAGAGGGGGTACCTGAAAAGGGGGGAGAGAGAGGCATATATATAGAACAATCCATTTAACGGTGACCGAATGCCACCGTCACCACTCGCCCCTCCTTGTCGTGCTCTGGCTTGTCCATGCCGTAGCGCACTGAGAGGGGGGCACCTGAATAGCAGAGGGAGGGCAGGGAGTGGAGCGTGGAGAGGAGGGAGTGGAGCGTGGAGAGGAGGGAGTGGAGCAGCACACGGGAAAAAGGCGCGAATTGCACCGTCACCACCCGCCCCTACTTGCCGTGCTCTTGGCCTGTCTAAGCCGTAGCGCACTGAGAGAGGGGAAGAGCAGTGCAGGGCAGAAGTGGGACACCTAAGAGAGGGGCGCACCTGAAGTGGGGGAGAGAGGGAAGGGCAGTGCAGAGGGGTGGACAAGAAGAAGAGGATAGAGGCACTTCCATGAGTTAGCTTAGACACTCACCTTAGCTTAGACAGCACTTCCATGCCAGAGAGATCTAACCCTTTCATACAACCACAGCCTAGTTTTGATTGAGGCGCCTCAAAACTCAACCACAGCCGAGTCCCACTGGCTGACCTTAGACAGCACTGCCGTGCCAGAATACCCAAGCTTAGCAGTGCTGCAGCTCCAATAGGAATGCGGAAAGGTAGGAGACAGAGCCCTCTGAATCTCCCCCACGTCCTTCTCCTGCAGCTTCGTTTCCTGCAGGCACACCACGTCAGCACGCTCCCTCTCGGCCAATCGGCACAGTACGGTCGCCTCAGCCGCCACGTCAGCAGACACGTCAGCCGCCACGTCAGCAGCCTCCAGATCCTGCGACTCGCCAGCTGGATCCTGCGATTCCCCCTCCTCCCCTCCGCCCGCCTTCCCCTTACCTGCTCCCCTTCCCCCTTTCTTCTTCCCCTTCCCCTTCTCTGTGCTCTTTCCCCCACTCCTCTCCCCTTCCCCCTCCCCCTCTCCACCTTTGAGCAACGCTCTCAACCCATTCACATTCCAAGACATCAGACGCCATACCTTCTTCCGTCCTCCTCCCTTCTCCCCTTCCTTCCCTCCACCTTCCTCCGCTCCCTTCTCCCCTCCAACCTCCCGTCCCCCCTCTGCCAGCTCACTCCCCCCTTCATCCACGTCAGCTTTCCTCATCATCTTGGGATCATACGGGAACCAATCAGGTCGCAGCTTTCGGTGCACCAGAACCTTCCAAGGCTCCTGACTAGCTTCGGCATCGGCCTCCATTCTTTTCGCAATCTCCATCTGCTCTTTTTTCGTCAGCTGCCCGGGTTTTTTCTGCCCGGCCTTGCCCCGACCTTTTTTCACCTGCCCGCCAGTGACGGCTTCTTTCCCCTTTCTGCCCTCCTCGTCTCCTTCCTGTGACTCCAACGGTTGTGATTCTGGTTGTGATTCTAACGGTTGTGACTCTGGTTCCTGTGACTCCACGTGTCCTGATTTCACTGGCTTGCCCCCCTTAGCCTGCTGACCACGTGGGCCCGCGGGTCTTCCCCTCTTCCCCCATTTCTTCTTCCCCTTCTCCTCTTCCTCCTCCTCCTCCTCCTCCTCCTCCTCCTCCTCCTCCTCCCTCCCTCCTCCTCCTCCTCCTCCTCCTCCTCCGCCTCCTCCTCCTCTTCCTCTTCTTCTTCGCTCAGCGCTGCTGCTTTCCCCCTTTTCCCTTTCCCCCCTGCTGCCGCTCCCCCACTTCCCAGTGACCGCGCCCTCCCCCCCGTCCAACCTCCCCCAACCGCGCCCTTCCCCGCTTCCCCCTTCCCGCTCCCGCTGGGTACCTCTCTCGCGCGCTTGACCCCCGCGCGCCCTTTCCCCGCGCCTTCCCCCTCCGCCTTTTTTCCGCCAGTCACAGCGCCGATCGCGGCGTCGTCAGCGGCGGGGTCGTCGCCGGAACGAGCGGCCGCGGCGGAAGCTGCTGCTGCTGCTGCCCGCGTGGAGCGACGCAGAGCGGTGCTGTGCGGTGCCTCGGAGTTGGTACGCGGAGCGACGGGTTTACGGCCGCCACCAGCCATGGTGGTAACAGACGCTAATCTTCGAGCCCTCGATACAGTCACAAATGCGGGGACTACTATTCTCGGAAGACCAACGGATATAGCACAGCAGGAATGGACGTTTCTTACTAAACGCCTGCAGCGTATTCCTAAGGCCGGGACGATCTGATTTCGCGATGATAGACTGCCAGTAACAGAGCTGGTGGCGAACTTTGGCGAAAAGGCGACGGGGGCCGTGGATGCTGTCCGGGCGGCAAATCGGACGGCTGCGATGGCCGATGGGATCCCTAGGGAGGTTCGGATAGTAACGAGTGGCACCATTCAGACGAATGCAGGGCAGAGCAGAAAATAGGAGGCTACCTTGCCCATAGCACTTGCTGAGACTGGCACAACAGTGAAAATAGCCCCAGATAAAATCATCCTCGCTATCATTCAGCCCCTTATCATAACTCCGTGGTTTGTTATCTGTAAACAAGGGGATTGTAAGATATCGAACAGTTCGATGTCGCAATTCCGCACAAGATTTTTCGCGATACAAAGTGCCCTTTTACGAATTCATCAAATGCTATATATCCCCAAGGATTTGAATTTCTCTCGGTTTCCCGCCAAATTCGACACCAACCTCGATATCCTCTCCCTCCATTCTCACCCTCCCACTAGTCATGATTCGTATTTCTTTCACTCTAGGTTCAGCGCTGCGTTAGGCTTTCCATAGGCTTCTGTTTGCGAGTGGTGGATCGACGAGCGTCGGCGTTCTGATTTTAACTTTCGCCGATAAGCGAAGCTAGTTTAGTTGATAAGCGAGCAGTAGGTGGGGGATACTCGACGCCAGGCTGCATAGCGGAGCAGATCAGCAACGCTCGTTTGAGTGAACCAGCTTTTGAGGCGCCTCAAAAGTCAACGCTCGTTTGAGTGAACCAGCGCCAGTAATGAAGCGGAGTAGAGAAGACGAGGAGGGTTCGCGGCACGATGAAGATGGCGGGAAGAATGCGTGAAGTAAGGGAGGAGGAGAGGATAAGGAGGCACGAAGCAGGGGTGATGAGGGTGACGGTGGTGGGGAGGCTTCTGGAGACGTTCAGGAGGCTATTTTCACTGTTGAAGCAGGCTATGTTAACGTTCAGGAGATGAAGGATCGAGAGATGAAGGATCGAGAGATGAAGGACGTACCAGGAAGGGAGGGAGGGAGGGAGGTTGGGGTAGAAAGGGGAAAACTGGAGGGTAGAAGAAGAGACCAAGAGAAGGTTAGGGAAAAGGAGGAGGAGAGAATGGAGGATGAGGATGAGGAGGATTGTGTTAAGATCGAGGAAGACAATGACGAGGATGTTAAGATAGAGGAGGAGAAGGAGGAGTGTATTGATCTTTTGGACGAGGAGGAGGACGACGGCGGTGACGATAACGAGGCGGCTGAAATCGAGGATGATTCGGAGGAGGAAGGTCTGAGGAAGGTGATGAAGCTGAGCGAAGCTGCGAGGAAAGCGCGGAAGCGTGACGTGGCGGATCGGGCGGGGGCTGGGGAGGAGGGTGCAGAGGACGGGAAGGGGGAGGGATTGGCGAAGAAAACAAGAAGGAAATTGGGGAACGGGAAAGTGAGTGATATGGAGAAGAGAGAATCGGGGCAGGGCAGCGAGGTTGGAAAAGACGGGGGCGACGGGGGTACGCGCGAGGGAGACGGGAACGAGGAGAGACAGGGGGAGAAGGAGCGGAAAGAGGAGAGCGGTGATGGTAGAGAAGCGAGACGAACCGAGAAGGATGGGAAGGAGGAACGTAATGAGGTAACGGTTAGTAAAGATGGTGAAGGGGGAGGAGTCGGCGGAGGAGATGCGGAGGGGGGCGACGGAGCTAGGACGCGTGGGGAGCGGGGGGAGCAGGGGGAGCAAGGGGAGAAAGGGGAGAAAGGGGAGAAGGGGGGGAATGGTGAGAAAGGGGATCTGGACGAGGGACGGGAGGAGGAGCAGCGACAGGAAGAGAAAGGAGAGAAGGGGGAGAAGGGAGAGAGGGGGGAGAAGGGGGAAATGGGAGAAAAGGGAGAGAAGGGGGAACAGACGGGGAGCATGGTAACCCGCAAGAAAGACATATCATACGTTCTTATAGACTTAAAGCCTCGAGAGCTGGCTAAGAAGACAGGGGGGAGCAAGGATAGCAAGGGGGGGAGCGCTGGGGAGAACGGTGGGGGAACGCCTGGGAAGGAGGAGGACGGTAGGAGTGACGGGCAGACGAAAAAATCAGGGGCCGATGGAGAGGCTGATGGGGCAGGTGAAAAAACAGGTGTGGGGGGGGCAGCGCGGACAGCAGAAGGGGGGAAGAAGCGGAAAGGCCTCCCCCCACGCGCTAGGAAAACGGGCAAGAAGGGGGGAGGAAGGGGGGGACATGGGGGTCCCAAGGGGGGATTGGCTGGTGCTGGGGCGGCTGGGGGAGGGCTTATAACGGGGATGGGGGACAAGAGGAAGGAGGCGGATCTGGTGAAGGTTGTACCTGCGCCCAAGGGGCTGGAGATCGAGGACGGACCTGATAAGCCGGTTGTCTTATCACGAGTGTTCCGGGCGGCACAGATCCAGGTAAGCAGCAAAGGCAATCGCATGGTATGGTACTGTGAGAGCCACAAACTGCATCTGGAATCAGAGTGTTGTTGAGACGTCTTAAAAGCAATCGCATGGTGCTGTGAGAGCCACATGCTGCATCTGGGGCGCACAGGGCACACCCGCATATGCTGGGCCACACAGGCACATGAAATGTGAGTGTTAATTAGACGTCTCAAAAGCACCCTCATATCGCGCACAGGACACACCCGCAAAGGCTGGGCCACTCAGCGAGCCACAGGTCATCACCCCTCGCCTTTCCCTCATTCTCGTTACTTCCTGCTCCCGATATCCCCGTTTCCCTCGTCCCCAGTTGAGTGAGGACCGCTTGTCAGCCACGAGCAGCAAGGGTTATTGCACGGTGCTGGCGATGAGAGGCATGGTGGACGGCGCTTGGTCTCCCCTATCCCCCACATTCCCTCTCGCCCTTCCTCCCTCCCTCCCTCCTTCCTCTCATTCCAGTTGAGTGAGGACAGGCTGTCAGCCACGAGCAGCAAGGGCTATCGCACGGTGCTGGCAACCAGAGGCGTGCTGGAAGGCGCGTGGTATTTCGAGATTCACATGCTGCATCTGGGGAGCACAGGGCACACCCGCATAGGCTGGGCAACTCAGCGAGCCGACATGCAGACTCCTGTGGGGTTTGACACATGGGGGTTTGGGTTTCGGGATGTGGATGGGAGTGTGGTGCATCAGGCGGTGAGGAGGGCGTATGCTGGGGGATCGCTGGATTTCCCTCCTCTGCCTCCTGCTGGCGTGACCGCTGCTGCTGCTGCTGCGGATGCTGCTGGTATCACGGCTGGTGTTAATGCCACAGGAAATTCACCTGAAAATCCACTTGACACGGGAAATCCACCTGAAAATGCATCTGCTGGCACGGATTCCATCCATAAAAGGCCCCAATCCCAGCCTGCGGGAGACATGAGCAAGCGGGCCCCAGGGTACGTGGAGGGCGACGTGATTGGCTGCTACATCAGCCTGCCAGGTGGCGCCAGGCTGGCGCCCAAGCCGCGGCCGCTGGTGACGTGGAAGGGGCAGCCGTGCTACGTGGAGAGCGAGGAGAGTGCAAGAGGAGGCCCTCCCGTCCCTGGTGAGGGTTTCTGCATTTCCATTCCTTCCTGACGCCTTGTGATTATGTTTCTCAAGCACTCCTCCCTCCCGACGGCTCTGTTTGAGCCCCACTGTGAGGTAACTTATAAGGGAAGGTGGGTCATCAAACATTGAAGGTGGCAACCTGCATAAATGCGTATTTGTTCGTAAAGATGAACGCATAAATGCATTATCTTTTCCCCGCCACCCTTCCACCGCTTTTCCGCAGGAAGTGAAATTGTGTTTTTCCGCAATGGGTTGTGTCTGGGCACGGCCTTTAAAGACATTCCAGCGGGCAGATACTTCCCGGCAGCTTCCCTCTTCACGCTGCCCGACCAATCAGAGGGCGCCACCGTGCGCTTCAACTTCGGGCCGAATTTTTCGCACCTGCCCAAGGACTGGGGCGGGCAGCCTGTGCCGGGAGTTTTTTCGGCTGCCCCACACGTTCCTGCTTCGGAGTATGAAGCTGATCTAGGGGAGGAGGGGGAAGGGAAGGAGGGCAAGGATGGGGTGGGGAAGGAGGAGGAGGAGGAGGGGGAGGAGGAGGGGGAGGGAAAGAAGGGGAAGGAGGGGAAGGAGGAAAAGGAGGAGACGGAGCAGAAGGAAGGGAGAGAAATCAAGGAGGATGGTGGTGGAAATAAGGATGGGGGAATCGACAAGAATGAGACAGCGGAGGGTGAGGGCCAAGGAGGAGGAGAGACTAAGGATGAGAAACTGGAGGGTGGGGAGGAGGGGGGAGAGGGGAAGGATGATGAGAAGAATGGTGAGATGGAGAAAGAAGGGAAGAAGGTGAAGGAAGAGAGGGAGGAGGTCGATGGGGAAATGACAGGAGAGGGGGCTGGTATTGATGATAAGGTGGGGAAGGTGAATAAACAGGGTAGAGTGCAAGAGGAGAGTCCGGAGAGAGAAGGGGGGAGCGAGAAGATTTTAGGAAAGCAAGAGGGGGTTAGGAATAGTGGTGGAGGGAGCGATGATGCGAGGATGGAAGTTGGGGAGAAGCGAGAGGAAGTTGGAGGGGATGATTAAGGAAGTGAGTGAAGCTGGAGATGGAGGTGAAGACAGGGAAGCGGTACCGGTAACTAGGATGAGAAGATATGAAATTACTGGGTGGGAGCAAGTCGAAACGAGGATGCTGACTGATTGGTGTTAAAGAGCAACATTTTGAAGCCTGTGAATCGTTGTAATGATGAAGATGACAAGGTGCACGCACAACATGGCACTTAGCTTGCAGGGAGTGATAGGACCAGCTTTTGACCAGGTGTACCTTATTGCAGCGAAGTAGAAAGTGTATATTTCATTGTTCTGGTAGCGAAGCTCGTCTGTTTGCTGCTTGTTCAAAGTTTTTCTCGCTGTAAATCCCACCAGCAATGTCGGTCAGTGGATGTGATTTGACGTCGGTGGAAAAGTGTGTGGTTGCCTTGCCGCCGAAAATACCTCAAAGCAACAATTTCTGGGAACACCAAATCACAAGGACAACCTCCATACGACAATCGCGAGACTGACGAGATCTCGTAACAATCAACGACGATTTTTTCCTGATGGTTGTCACTCATATCCAAGTTAAGGGCTATGTATTCTCAAACCATCAAAACCGCTACAAACGCCTTGGGAAAAGTAGAAGAATGCAAAGAAGCGTACTTAACCGCGTGAACTTAGTGGCAGTGAATTTGACAAGATCCTGAGGGAATGGGCGAAGAGGAGTGCTAATATTCCCGTCTTCTCTCACAAACTAGCAATAGCATCTAACGCAAGCGCCGCGTCTCGCTGCCGCAAGCCACGCTAGCATTGTTTCGTCAATACGTCACCTGCTAGATCTCAGCAGCAATGGATTCGTTGCCTTCCACGTGTACCCCCTTTCATTGCACCGCCACTTCCCGGCGCGGCTGTGTAATATCGACTAGGCCAATAAGTCCAGCCAGGGGACTACAATTCGTAGTATCTCACTTTGGACGAGCTTGGAAAATCCATTGCTATACACTCGCGTCGAAACCGCTGGATAATTTTTCTATGAATTACGCCCGGAAAGCGAAACGACACTTGCAATTTAGTGGTTCATTCCTTCTTTTGAGGCCTCTGAAAAACAAACGATTTCCAATGGCGCGTCTCGCCTCCGACCTCTATCTGCCATAAGGCAAGGTTTCCCATGCGGCTCTACTAATATACGTCATCTCTGCCTACTATACGTTGCCTCGTTTGGAAATCGTGCATCAAGTCAGCTGGTTGGGTTGTTGATTACTACAGAGAAGGTCGATTTTAGGGCTACAAAGTCCGCTCGCGGCGGAATGATGGACGATCAGGATCTCTTGATGAGCGATCTGACGGACGAGAAAAACGCTGGGGCGATGAATGGCCCAGATCTACCGCATTTTGCGAGAACTCATCTTAGAGATTCTACCTTGAACAGCCGCTCGGATTGGGAAATGCCCCACTTTGAAAACCCCGTGACAAACCTCCCCCCATCCTCCGGTGGCGCAGGGGAATTACCCCGTTTTAATGAACTGGGGTATAATTTCTCAGGGGAAATTCCCCCATTTGACGAAGCCGAGATGGAGCCGTTCCGGCTTTCTGGGGAGATTCTTGCTGACGTGGCAGCGGCGTTTGACCACGCCAGGTCAACGTTTGCATGTGTGGAGCCCACGTGTCCCACAGAAACCACCTTCACCTCTGCTGCTTCAGCCTTCCCCGCCCCTGCCGTCTCACCTGCTGCCGTCTCCCCTGCTGCCGTCTCACCTGCTGCAGTCTCCCCTGCTGCCGTCTCCCCTGCCGCCGTTTCCCCCTCACATGAACAGAGCTGCCTGTCCTCCCTGCTACAGCCGCCAGCAGCACCACCGCGTCTACCAGAGCAAGCACATGCTACAGCCGCCAATCTGACTGCAACCGCTGCTTCTACTGCAGCCGGCCCTGCCTGTAGCTTGCCTGCCCTGCTACAGCCGGCAGTAGCACCACCGCGTCTACCAGAACAAGCACATGCTACAGCCGCCACTTCGAACCCTGACACTGCTGCTACAGCCCGTTACAACCCCATGCCAGCCCTGGGGAATTCAGCAGCGTCCCACAGCGCGACTCAACCAGCAGTGTGCTGCAGCTACCGCCTACCACCCAATCCTGACACTGCTGCTACAGCCCGCTACAGCCTCACACCACCCATTGGGGGTTCAGCGGCAGCAGCATCCCCCAGTGCCCCTCAACCAGCAGATCGCTACAGCTGCCGTCTGCCACCCAGTCCTGGCATGTGTGTGAAGCTGCTGGGTAGTGAAGTGGTTGGTGAAGCGGGAAGGGAGAAACCTAGCCCATCCATTGGGGGAAGCCCATTCGCCCCTCTCCCCCCATCCGCAACTCTCCCCCCATCAGCACCTCTCCCCCCATCATCCACACCTCTCCCCCCGTCATTCATGGGGGGAAACCCATTCGCACCTCTTCCCCCATCCTCACCCGCAGCAACAGCAGTACTATCCGCGCCCAATAGCCCGGCCACTTCACACCCATCCCAACCGCTTCGTCTCGCGCACACACCACCTGGCAGGTGGGGACAACGCACCCCGCCCGACCCGTGCCGCCCAGCAGCATTTCCACTTCTGTGTCTGCCCCAGTGTCTCCCTACTATGCCTCCCCTGGGATTCCCTCCCCCCACACCGTCTTCCACACCATCTTTCACATCAACTTTCACATCAACTTCCACACCAACTTCCACACCGCTGTTAAATCAACACAACAAGTGCCCCCCTGCTCCTCCCCTGGGATTCCCTCCCCCCACACCATCTTCCACACCCCCGCCTTCCACACCATCTTTCACACCAACTTCCACACCGCTGTTAAATCAACACAACAAGTGTCCCCCTGCTCCTCCCCTTACCTTTCCTCTTCCCACACCACCTGTTTTTGAGGCGCCTCAAAAACTGTCCCACTGTATCCCTGGACCTTCACCTAGCTTTGCCGAGGTGACTTTTGAGTCGACTCAAAAGTCACCACCTGTTTTTGAGGCGCCTCAAAAGCTGTCCCACTGTCTCCCAGGACCTTTGCCTAGCTTTGCCCTTCCCACACCACCAGCCTCCTGTGCCTACCCCAAGCCACCCACCCGTGCATTGCCCACCCGACCTTCCCCGCCAGCAAAGCTGCCTGTAGCAGCTGCACCATCCCCGCCGGCAAAGCTGGCTGTAGCAGCAACGCCAACCCCACTAACCAGCCCGGCTGTAGCAGGTACACCAGTTGCTGCTGCCGCCCCCTTAGAGGCATGTGTTAGCCGAGGCATGAGCAGCAGCAGCAGCCACAACAGCCAGAGCAGCAGCAGCAGGAGCAGCGTCAGCAGCGGAAGCCGCAGCAAGAGGAGGAGGGAGGAGGAGGGCGGAACTGGTGATGGTTTCACCTGCAAGGAACAACACCTCTCCGTGCATTCAGGAGGGGTGGTATCAACTGCACCGCCTCTCCAGGGACTTGAGGAGTTCGCGAGGGCTGTGAGGGAGCGGATTGCCATGGGGGGTGGGATGGTTGGAGAGGGGAGTGTGGGGGGTGGGAGTGTGGGAGGGGGGAGTGTGGGGGGTGGGATGGTTGGAGAGGGGAGTGTGGGAGTGAGGAGTGTGGAAGGGGGGAGTGTGGGATGTGGGATTGTGGGAGGTGTGACTACCGGTTGTGTGACTATAACGCAGCCTGACGCTGGTGCTGCGGTCTGCGAGGTTGCTGCTGGCGAGGGGAAGGAATTGGAGGGGAGTGGGGCCAAGAGGGCAGGCATGACAGGCGTTTCTGTGAGGAGGAGACGCAATCGAATCAAATCGGAACGATCTCGTCGCAAGCGAGTGAGGTGAGTTGGGGACACAAATATCCAAATCCCAGATGTGACCCTGAGTCCAATTCTTGGTCTCGTACGAAGGCCTTGGGTAAACGAATGTACATTATTTGTTAGAATTCATTCTTCTTCAAGTCTCTCTCTCTCTCTATCAAACTTCTTCCCAGCCGAATTTCCTCCTATTCTTTCATTTCCTTCACTCCAGTGATGCAGTGGAAACCCTTAGGTTGCTGGTCCCGGCTCCTGTGTCTTCTCCAACTGATATGGCATCCGTGCTAGAAGCGACAGCAGCATACATCCGAGAATTGCAGGTAAGTTGCGGTGCAACTGGGAGGGTGTGTCAGGTCTTAATACTGTTTCTTTCTTCTGATTCTTTTGATTGTTATTGTTTGTTTGTTCATTTGCGTGGCTAAATCAACCCCCTGGTTGTCATGTGACGCATGGTTGTGTTGGTATAATAGGGTCTCACAGACACGCTCCAAAGCATGGCCTTGGTCCAGAAGACAACCAGAGACCAATAATGGGCTCAGGATGGAATCATGACTCAGGGCGTTTTCCTTCACTTCAGTACGGGCTGTCATATGATGCTACATTAGATGGATTCAGAGCGTGACATCCATTTCGTTGTACCGATTTGCAGGAAAACGCCCTTGGTTTTATTTCAAATGTTTTTATTTGTTCTGTTTTGTGCCTAATTTAAGAAGGGATTATGGGAGCTCTTCAATGCTTCCACTTCCAGTAGGTCTATACATGATGCACAAAACCATCCTAGTTTTTCCCAATCTTCGTCATAACCGATGCCGAATTTCTGCGACGCCTGCGACCCAGGCCCGCGACGGACTCAGATCTACAACTGCCTCCTAATCGCGAATATTAGTAACATTGTCGCCGATCTTGTTTGCGATTTCATACAACCCCGCTTCCACCGCAAACCGTCGCTTCTGGAAGCTGGCGAGTTTCGTCTGAGCTGGAGCCCGCTCAGCACGCACTCACCCTGTGCTGCCACCCCTAGCCAGCCAACGAACTATCTATTCCCTGAATCTCGGTTTTCGCTTTCCCTGAATCTAGCTTTTCTGCTGATCTGAAATTCTCTAGGTCACTTGCAGGTTTCAGCTTCTGTTTCCGATTTCCTTCCTCCCTCGTTTCAGATTGCAGTCCTGGTCTCTAGGCTCCTTGTACCCTGATCCCTTTAGCTGCTGCTGTTGTAGGCTCCGCAACTTCGGGAGTTGTACTTTATACCAGTTTT